CGCACTAAAAAAAGTGCCAACGACTCGCGATAAGAGGTCCACACTAACAGATGCTCTCTGACACTCAACCTTGTGAGCCCTCTATTGTCCAACCTGTCTGATGTGCGACCCGTCAGTATTTGTAGCCTGCTAAACGTTGTGAGCTTACCTCTATTGTTATCCACCTGAGAAACTAGCTGTCTTTACTCGATGTTCTATTCAGTGGTTTATGTAGATTGTAGATGAGTGGTAATATCCAACGTTATGAAATACAGCGTACAGAGTAGAGGTACAGAGTAGAGGTACAGAGCAGAGCTGGTACAGAGTAGAGGTACAGAGCAGAGCTGGTACATAGTAGAGGTACAGAGCAGAGCTGGTACAGAGTAGAGGTACAGAGCAGAGCTGGTACAGAGTAGAGGTACAGAGCAGAGCTGGTACAGAGTAGAGGTACAGAGCAGAAGGGGGTAATAATATCATAAAAAGGGCCAACTAGCAAAAACTAAGGACGTAAATCATATAATAACAAGCTATCACTTGGCGCATCCGGCAGGGCGGAGGAACCGCCACACACTTTCAACAGTGATACAAATTGCAATCTCATTAAACTATATAAAAAATAAGTATAAAGAATAAGGAAAAGGAACGGGAATGAAGCCAATACCAGAAGTGAAACCCCACCAAAGAATAATTGATCCTTAGGTAGACCTGGTGAAATAAAGTAACTGAACTGTAAGTTCAAGAAAAGACGGAAGGAATAAAGGAGAGAGGAAATAATGTTATGTGAACATCATCAGCAGATGACTTGGCACACCGGTTTCGGGGGTTTAATACCTGTACCGGTTTAATGTGCCAAGACCCCCTAGCAATCACTCGTCAGTATTTGTAGCCTGCTAAACGTTGTGAGCTTACCTCTATTGTTATCCACCTGAGAAACTAGCTGTCTTTACTCGGTGTTCTATTCAGTGGTTTATGTAGATTGTAGATGAGTGGTAATATCCAACGTTATGAAATACAGCGTACAGAGTAGAGGTACAGAGTAGAGGTACAGAGCAGAGCTGGTACAGAGTAGAGGTACAGAGCAGAGCTGGTACATAGTAGAGGTACAGAGCAGAGCTGGTACAGAGTAGAGGTACAGAGCAGAGCTGGTACAGAGTAGAGGTACAGAGCAGAGCTGGTACAGAGTAGAGGTACAGAGCAGAGCTTGTACATAGTAGAGGTACAGAGCAGAGCTTGTACATAGTAGAGGTACAGAGCAGAGCTGGTATTCGTGAAATATCTAACCTTCTCTCATTGGGTGTTGAGTGAGGTGATGTGTTTATGTTATCAGTAGCCTGGGTTACTCGTGTAAACCAAATTTGAGTGCGTATTTAATAGCATTTATTAAAGATGTAAAGTGTTTATTAAGCAAGTTTTACTCTTATTTAAATAAGGAAATGTAAATAATGGATATGATGGTGGTGATGACTGAATGTACATTTTCAAGCTGCTGACAACCTCCCTCTGACTGTTATATACTATATAGTCGTCCAGTAATACAATACCAAATGTACAGCAGTATTTCACTGCCATTACAGCTAACGCTGTTGATTGTTCACGTCAATGAAACACGCAAATCTAACAGCTCGGATCTTTCTAGACTTTATAACAATAGTCTCCAGAATCAGAGCCACTAGATAGAGAAAGTGTGTGTGCGTGTGTGCGTGTGTGTGTGTCCTACTGCATACTCTCGAAACAGTGTCCATTGTGTGTCGGACAGGTAAACATTGTGTTTAAAACTTTATATATCTAGCTACTCCAGTACATAACTGAAATTCTTTGGTGTCAACTCTTGTTGAATTATGATAAATCAGAAGAGTTATTCACTCCATATATTATGTTATACTACATATATAAATTATATTATCTTACTATATATAAAGCGAGACGATATATATATGTGTATATATCCGTGCCATTTTACTGACACCACGGCATCAACTTTAACGCGACTTTCCGCAAAAACCGTAAAAGATATACAACTGAAACTTTTTTGACTGGGTCAAATGCTTTAATGGCCTTCGAATCAGCATGAAAAAATAAAAAATTGGCCAAGGAATAATAATTTTAGTGCCCAAAATTTGGACTCTCAAGTGGTGTCAAAAACGCGAATTAAATAGGTAATAATTATTTTAGTCTCTCGAGTCTTGACACCACTTTAGGGTAAGACGGGTTCCTGCTAGTATATACTAAAGGGTGTTCTGGAAAGGGAATGGTAGAGCCCCTTGAGTACGTAACACTGAACAGCAGTGTACAGTATTCACACCCTGGTGGTATGTTCTCAACATTACCTAATATTGTACAATGGCCTCCTTCAACAATGTTTTTGAATATTATGTTATAAAAGTGGATGGTTACTATTATTGTTTCGTAACTAGATTTAACAGTTCTTACAATGTAAGAACTGGTAAATCTAGTTTAAACGGAATTCTTACATTCTTACCAAGATTTGTTTCTAACCATTCTAACCTGAACATTTCGTTAGGGGCACAATGACAGAGTCAGAGAGTGGACCAGTAAAGATCAGTGAAGGGAAAGCGGAGATTTTGTTTACCACACAAAACGAAGTATTCTACAACAAAGTCCAGGAACTGAACAGAGATTTCACAGTCACTGCCCTCACTACCTTTGGTAAACATGTCCACGCAAATGACCGTAAGATCCTAAAACGTGCCAGGCAACTGAACGATAACGATAACAACACAAAAGCACCAGGACTGAAAGTGCTAGAAGCTCTGGGAGCAACAGGACTAAGAAGTGTTCGTTTCAGTAAAGAACTGGGCTCCCTAGCTGGTCGTATCACCTGCAACGACGTGTCACCAGAGGCAGTCATAGCCATGAAACGTAACATCGCTCACAATGAATGTCAGAACATAACCGCCTCCACAGCTGACGCGTGTGTCCTCATGTGTACCAATAAGAACGAGTTCGATGTAGTTGACCTTGATCCGTACGGGACCCCGGCCATGTTCCTAGACACGGCCGTGCAGGCAGTGAGGTCTGGTGGTTTGCTCTGTGTCACTGCTACAGATCTAGCGGTGCTCGCCGGTAACCACATCCAGGCATGTTACGGCAAGTACGGGGGAATGCCCCTGAAGAGAGTCTACTGTCACGAGTTTGCTCTGAGACTTTTGTTATCATGTGTTGATAGCCATGCTAACAGACACGGCAGGTATATAAAGCCTCTGTTTAGTTACAAGGCTGACTTCTACGTGAGGGTGTTCGTGCAGGTGTTCCAGTCACTAGGGGAGGTTCAGAAGACAAGCTCCAGACGTAGTTACGTATATGACTGTGTGGGTTGCCACGCCTTCCACCTCCAGAAAGTGGGAGTACACACTCCCGGGACACAACAAGTGGCTCCGGGGCGGGGTCCTCCTGTCAGCCCTAACTGTGAGGAGTGCGGGAGAAACTTCTACATCGGGGGACCCATCTGGTCTGATCCGATACACGATACTGAGTTCCTGGGCCAGATGAAGGAGCACCTGGCAGGCGAGGGCAAGTACCTGGGAACTATAAAAAGAATGACAGGCATGCTGACACTGGCTGAAGAGGAGCTGCCGGATATTCCGCTGTTTTACGAGCTCAGTACCTTAAGTAAAACAATTCACTGTACATGTCCCCCGCTCGCCATTTTCCGTTCTGCTATCCTCAATGCTGGGTATCGGGTTTCCCTGTCACATGTGTGCCCCAAGTCTATCAAGACTAACGCACCACCCTCTGTGGTTTGGGATGTTATGAGACGTTGGGCACTAGATAACGGCGCTAAACTGAGGGAGCCTGACACAGTGGCTGGCATATTACTCCGCAAACAGCCCACTTTAGCTGTAGATTTTACTCTTCATCCCCTGGCTAAACAGGACCCCGATGTGCTGAGGTTCCCTCCTAACCCTGAACCTCACTGGGGCCCCAAGGCCAGGGCTGGTAAAAGAAAACCTGACTCACCTGGTGGCGATTCAGGTGCTAAAGCAAGGAAAACACCTAAAAAGGAGCCACTTCATGATCTGAAACTGTTCAGCTGCAAAAGGTTTGAGATGAATCAGTGTGATTTAGGGGATAGTTGTAGGTATTCTCATAACACAAAAGAGAATAATTTAGAGAATGCTAATACTGAAGCCGAGCTCAATAATTCTATGGTATCATCAGAAATATTAGGCGAATCAGTTACGTCTGATACAGCTTCCTGAAGTCCGGTAACTTCTAGGTAAATCCTTTTAACTTATTTATGGTTTTATTATATTTTTTGACTATTTTAGTTGAGTTTCTTAGAGATTTGATTGTTAACGCGTTATGCTGCTGGTAACAATGTTGTAACCGACGTTTTTAAACTCCTATTTCCTACTTTCGAGAATTATATTGGGCTTCCAGACACATTTTTATGTAATTTATTCGTTAATTTCTAACTTTGATTAACCGGTAGTTGCTTGATTTGACTCAAAGCTTGGCCGCCTATTAACCCACACTACACGTGACAGGAGTCCCAGGCTTCCAGGCTCATGTAATTATGCCATTATCAACACACTTCACTGGTAATACAAAGAAATTCAAAAAGACGCCCCCCTTTGTCTAAACCATACCCAGAAAAATTTGTATGGAGCTCTTTCAATTAGTATTAGTATTAGCATAGTTGGCATTTCTCAGTTAATTGGTAACCTGCAGATCAGTAGTATTTGCAGTAACCACTGCAGTAACCACAGTGCACTGGAACTGCACGCACAACACCGGGTTCTGTTCTGTACTCTCAACTAATTTAACACCTGTACTTTTGGTGATTTTAATTACAATGTACTATCCGATGTAGTAGAAATCTAATTGCTATTTACAGTTTACACATAGAAAACTCACCTTAGAAGTCACATTTGTATAACAATGTCCAGAACGCATTGTACACATAGCCGCCTTTGTTGCCACTGTTTGCTGGTGAATTCCAGTGCGTTTGTAAAGTGTACTGTGTAATTTCACAAAGGCGCCTGGTGCCACACGAGGGACACTTTCAGCTGTGGGTTTATTGTTGTTCTGTATTGTCGGGAACGTGACACTTTGTAAAACACTTACTTACTCTGTACCTTGTACTCCTTGTATCCCTTTTACATCTTGTACCCCGTCCTCACATTCCTTCCTCCCTTTCTCCCTTTCTCCCTTCCTCCCTTCCTCCCTTCCTCCCTTCCTCCCTTCCTCCCTTCCTCCCTTCCTCCCTCCCTTCCTCCCTTCCTCCCTTCCTCCCTTCCTCCCTTCCTCCCTTCCTCCCTTCCTCCCTTCCTCCCTTCCTCCCTTCCTCCCTTCCTCCCTTCCTCCCTTCCTCCCTTCCTCCCTTCCTCCCTTCCTCCCTTCCTCCCTTCCTCCCTTCCTCCCTTCCTTCCTCCCTTCCTTCCTTCCTTCCTTCCTTCCTTCCTTCCTTCCTTCCTTCCTTCCTTCCTTCCTTCCTTCCTTCCTTCCTTCCTTCCTTCCTTCCTTCCTTCCTTCCTTCCTTCCTTCCTTCCTTCCTTCCTTCCTCCCTTCCCCCCTTCCTCCCTTCCTTCCTTCCTTCCTCCCTTTCTCCCTTTCACTCTTCCTCCCTTTCACTCTTCCTCCCTTCCTCCCTTCATCCCTTCCTCCCTTCCCCTCCGTACAAACATCCGTCCATCCGTCCGTGCCTTCGCCCATCCCTCCACCAATTGCCCCGTCCTCGTTGTCTCTTGCAATATATTGTGATACCGTCAAGTCGTGAGTCTGTAGCTAAAGGCCACCACAATAAGCACAGCCTATCCATCATTCCAGATTATCTGGGAGCCTCCTTTTGTTCTCCGTACGTTAACAGTCGTTCCCTTTGTATCCTCTTAATTTCTCACTCAACATGGGATCTTTATTTCGTTTTATCAGCTGCCCCCCAATACGACTATTGTTTTGTGCTTAAGTGTAGTTGTGAATTCTGGTGATTCCATGTACAGCACTCTCGACTACTCTGCTGTGTGGGGGGGGGGGGTACTGTGTCAACCGATGCTCAATGAAATTACTCTGAAAATCTTCCAGATTGCAATGCTAGATATTTTAACTACAGTGTTTCAGTACTTTTTTGATAAACTCGTTATCCTCTCTGTTAAAAGTTAACGTTACATAATGAGTACTGACAGCAAGGCATTTCCGCGTGAACGTGTATTTAATGTACAGTTATTATTGGTAGTATAGTGTATAGTATATATTATAGGTAGTGCATAATCTCTAGACATTGTTCCACCAACATGTGCCTGACAATATATAAGCACAGTAACGTTATAACTACATGGTCGTTATGTTGTACCACTGTGTGTATTTTAATGTGACTTATATTGCTGTGAGTACATAATATGATGGCAGTATGCGTTGCTATTCATTCATCAAGCAAGCAGATCGATATCATTTCCGCTCTCCTCATTACCAGCTCTGAGCTCTCTCTCTCTTTCTCTCTCTCTCTCTCTCTCTCTCTCTCTCTCTCTCTCTCTCTCTCTCTGGGATCACGTCACGAGACCTCCTTTTTCACGACGTACCGTGACGTACCGTGACGTTCCGTTTGTGTGAAATGACCACACAAACGTTGGTGTCCAGTGATTTATTAGTAAGAGGTGTGTTACTGCCGATAAGAGTATTGTGTATAATAGTGTGTGGAGCAGGTGGATTATGCTGTGTCATAGGTTGAAGTGGAAATTGTTGCTTGTATTTGTAGGACTGTAGACCTGTAAGTTGGACAAATCAAATTAAGAAAGAACGTTTTAGGTTAGTAGTAGTAGTAGTGTATAAGACCTGCGTAGTTACTAAATCAAGAATGTCAAGAGTTTTTTCACTGGAGATGGACAAGTCTATCATCTGCAACTTTCTCAATCCGAAAACTACTCTAAATAAAACTTACATATTATGTTTGCGTAATGTTTCTATTACATATTATAGAAATTTTCATACGCAAACTCAGATAGCAGAGTAATGATGTTGTAAACATTTTCTGGTTATATTATAGCGAATTGTACGTGCATCAAACATATAATAAGCGAAAACACCCTTTTAATATAGCGATACGTATCGTCATCTTGAGGTAACTAATTTGTAGCTGCAAACCCAGATTTTAAGGTTTTCGACAGCGATAAGTTCCAACTACCTTACTCGGGAATATTATAGCGGGTTAATTTATGACTGGGAAAATTAATAACCGGGAAAAATATGGCGGAATTTCCCAAAACCCGCCAAATTATCCCGGTCATGTATTTACCGGTGGCCGACCTTTCAAGTTTTTTTCAGAGGTCAACAAATTTTCAACCGAAATTTCTGTTTTTGTTACTTGTTAAAGAAGTTATTTCAATTTACAGTTACTGATATTACTCAGAAATAGAAAAAAAGACACGTCTAGTATTTAAAGGAAAATAAATCTATAGCAATAATAAGTCAAATCTTCATTAAAGCGTATTCTCATTCTCATTATCGCTAATGTCCCCTCCATTATCATTATTGATTTCCCCCTGCTGCTGACCGTCAAATTCGAAGTTGTATTGTTGTCTTAACAAGACTTTCATTTTGTCCGCTAATGGGGCTACTGCTCTGAAGGTCAGCCGGAGCTTAATTTCCTGCCCACCGCTTGGTATTGGGGAACGTCTTGGCTTTGCATCTTCAACTGCTCCAGTAATCAATCCACCGTGGACCATGAAATAGTGGCACAGTTTACTCACTTCATGGGCAAGAAAAGTGAGAATCACGGTCCACCCTGAAATCTGATTTCTATAACCAAATTGTGATTTTTATAACGAAATTATGGTAGCAACCGCCAATAAAGTTACAGCACTCCATCCACTGCTTCAAAAGTCTTCTCTAGCACATATGAGACTTCAGGTAAAATATGATGATCACCACCCCCTTGGAACCCCATAATCTGAGTCGGCGGGTTTTTTTATGACTGGTAAAATTTTTGACCGGGATAAATATGGCGGAATCTTCCAAAACCCACCACTTTATCCCGGTTATAATAATCCCGAGTAAGGTATTCAATATTCCAGTAGAGAAACTACGAAACTCTCCAATAGTAACTCTACAAGACGTATCCTAAGTATTCTAGGTAAGTATTTAATAAAGCATAATCAGTTTTGAAATAAACCATTCACTGGTAGTCTCCAAATGCGATGGGTGGGTTCGAATCAATTTAAAACGCAAAGTACTGGCTGAGAATATGCTTAAATATTTGTTAGTAATATGTCTTTATGAACTTTAAGGTTACAAGGTATTGAAGTCTCGTTATTCCAGCTACCAGTTCAATACTGCGATTTTAATCAGATAAAATCCTTAAAAGGGCTTTTCTCCTTTTATTATTCTGACACGAATTACTTGCGTTATGAAAGGGTTGCGTGTGGGCAGTTACTTCTGGGCCACCCTGTATCTAATCAGAGTATCAAACTCTTGATTTGCGGAGACTTTATTAATTTGTAAATTAGTAAAAAGTCCTCCAAATTTCTAGCTTTTAGCGGCCAACTTTTCGCGGCCGTTGTATAGTGTTACTTAGTGCTACTACGTGCGAGATATTCGTTCTGAAATCTGCCTGGTCTTGTTTTAATAATCTAGACCTACGTGGTATTTGGTATTTAGCATTTAGCATGCAATAAGGAGTATTACATGCAAAATGCTCAATATCTAGTATGCCGAATGCAGTATTAAAATTAAGGAAAAATATAATTTTATTTTATGACGTTTATAGCGGCTGGAGTATGAGCATTAGATTATATAATATGCAGTATGTAGAATTATTAAATGAAGTATGCAGTAAATGAAGTATGCAGTATATTATGAACTATGCAGTAAACTGAATTTTGCACTAACTAGTATAGTATGTGTAGTATACAATACTTGTAGAGTATGCGACAAATGTAGTACACGTATCGGTGTGAGCTCATTGTAGTAACATTTTTAATCATCAAATCACTTCTACAGCACATACTGAGGCTGCTCTCATAGCTCTGTACATTTACACACTGATAAACATTCGGAGAAAACGTTTTAATTAAACAGCTCTGCCAGGACCCTCCAGTCTGTGAGCGAGGTGGGAGCTGAGTCAAGGAGCACTGAGCAGTTTGTATTATGAAGAAGCACTAAGCAGTTTGTATTATGAAGGAGCAGTATATTATGAAGGAGCAGTATATTATGAAGGAGCAGTATATCGTGAAGGAGCGGTATATTGTGAAGGGGCCGTATATTATGAAGGAGCAGTATATTATGAAGGAGCAGTATTTCATAAAGGATCAATATATTATGAAGGAGCAGTATATCGTGAAGGAGCAGTATATCATGAAGGAGCATTATATTGTGAAGGAGCAGTATATCATGAAGGAGCAGTATATTATTAAGGAGCAGTATATTATAAAAGAGCAGTATATTATAAAGGAGCAATATATTATGAAGGAGCAGTATATTGTGAAGGAGCAGTTTTCTCCCTGAGCTACCTTTATACTTACATGCGCCTCTCTGTGAGCTACCATTACAATCTCACACAAAGTAAAAGCAGGTGTTGTTAATAACGAACACCGTGTTACCATCTAGACAGTGGTGGGTGTAGGGCTCGGCCCTGGAGGTCACCAACGTGTGTGACTTGTGTGTGGATACCCAATTAAAGTTAATTGTTTGATTGGATAACGAGCTACGAAGTGCACTCGCCAGTACCTGTGTAGCCTTACAAAACATGCACGTTATTAAGGTAGCCTGGAGTTGATAAAGGGAGCTTATTTTCTAATTAACGGTAAATCTGTGGGTTCGTATTACTATTCCATCTGTACAGTACCTAGCTATGTACTTACCTGTTCTGTACTATTAGTGGCCAGCTTGTGAACGTTTACTTGGTCCTCATCTTAACTAGTATGTTGTTCAAACTGTAGGTAGGAGCCTTGACTTAAATACAGAGGCCCCATGTAGCCGGTGGGCCCGACATGATACGACATATCTCGACACGTCGGGGTTTGTCGGGGTTTGTCAGGGTTTGTCGGGGTTTGTCGGGGTTTGTCGGGGTGTGTCGGGGTTTGTCGAGCCTGGAGGCTTTTTTTTTTTTTTTTTTTTGAGTCTCCCAACAAAAAGCTGAGAAGGAGTCATCAAGCTTTACGTGGAAAAACACTACACAAGAAGGCCTCATGTAGCCGGTGGGCCCGACATGATACGACATATCTCGACACGTCGGGGTTTGTTGGGGTATGTCGGGATATGTCGGGGTTTGTCGAGCCTGGAGGCTACATGGGGCCTATAGTTATACAGCCCAAGCAAATCCCCCTATTTTGACGGGATATTGTTAACAACCTATACCAGCTCTAGTTAAGTAATTAAACCGCCGATTTCGAATAATATAATTCTGATCGATGTTGACGCTTCCATTCCATATCTTACTACGAAACAGTCCAAATTGCCCATAGAATAAAATGTGAAAATCTCCAGCCTAAAATCCTAGTCTAAAATTCTCAGTTTCTCATCTATCTCTTTCAAGTTTTCTAATTGTTTTTCAATTGACAGCCGCCTTTAGCCAGCTTCTTATTTGTTTCTTTGTGATCATCCGTATAGAAATATTGAAATACAGACTTCCTCTCCTTAACAATAGCTCAATAGTCGTCCTTTCTAACAATAGTCGCTATTCATTGTCATAAATATAAATATTAGTGCCAGTCTGTGCATCTCTCTATTTTAGATAATGAATTACAAGACACAACAAACTTCTTTTCACTATTCAATAAATGCACGAATGGTCACCTGATCACCTCTACTCAATAATTTTGCCTGAATAATGAAACAAAGACTAAGGAGTTGTTCATATTGACAATTTGATTAATATATTATTCAAAATTATAGTCAAATCGAACTACATACTTATGATATATTTTAAAATTTGAGTTGATTAATTATTCATAGCTGATCATGATCCCAGTGCATGAACCAAATAGGTTTACATTTATTCGAACTGTCATTGCTTCACATATAATATAATGATAATATTATCTAAAATCAGATGCTATCTTGTAAATGTGTTAGTTCCCCCGTAACACCCTGTGAAAGTATTTTGGTATTGTGTTCATTGTTCCATGTTCATTATCCCACATCCAGAAAGTTTTAAATTTCCTCGCAGATCGTGAGATTAATGTTTTCGCCCTACAAATTTTCTTCTGTTGCCTCCAGTTTATTGCATTCATTCATTGCTTTCTCACCTCTATCTATCAGGTCGTATGTTTTTTACCTCGACTAGTAAAATTTCGCGATACAGGTATTATTTTATCTCCCAGTGGTGAGCTATTGCTTCCCCTAGTCCTACCGTAAGCTCTATCATAGTATCATCAACTGCATTGTTAATATGAGGGAAGCTAATTATTTTTGACTTTCCTTCGTTACATTTTCAAACCGTGTAAATCGTGTATTCGTGTAAAAACAAAGGTCAGGTCTTCTTAAAAAAAAGGTCTTTGGCTCCGAATTTCCTCCGAAATCCAAAATTTCCTCGCAAATTATCTGCCGTCATTTGAATGTGGGTTCATTATATTTATTTTATAACTGATGTTATCTTTCCTCTTAGCACCCTATGAAAATGTGTTGTGGCTGATTATTACTAACCATTTTACTTTCTTAGCACCCTATGAAAATGTGTTGTGGCTGATTATTACTAACCATTTTACTTTCTTAGCACCCTATGAAAATGTGTTGTGGCTGATGCGATAGCTTAGTTAGAGAACATGACCCTGTGTTATGGAACACTTCTTCAATCGAAAACCAACAAAAGGTAAAGTCTTCAATTATCCAATTATATGTTTTGATAATTATCTAATTATAATATGTCATTATATTATGTAGTTATTGGGGGTATGTACACGTTAAGTTAGTCTATGGCATTGTTAAGTAAAAGTGAGCTAATGTTTGGTATGTTTGGTATGGGGTGGTGAGCAAGGGGGCCATGTTAAAAACCACTTCTTAATTTACCGGCCCGTTCTCGGGCACTGCGAGAGTTTAATTGAGATATTGTTGTACGTACCCACGTAATATGATAGACAGGTCCGCTAAGTACGAGCGGTGTATGCGAGCTCAGTTATGGTCACGTACGTTTAATAGAATATGTTGATGTCAATGTAGGGGAATGTAAGATGTGAAGTCCTAATATCATGTTAAGTTTTAAAACGCCGTGTCCTTTGTGTTGTGGTTATTATCAAACTAATAACGTATTTGCTTAATTGTTGTGTTATCAGTGAAACGCCTTAAAAATGTAACAAGTTAGTTGCATATATTTATCTAGGAATAGTTACTTACCATGGTTATGAGATGAAAGTTCGTGAAATGAACTTATGAAATTCCTCAGTTTTTTGCCGGATAGCTGACAGTTAACATTAACACGGCTCATTTAACATAATTAAAATAATTCCAATGATATTCATAAATATTCCCAATACCATTCATACACAATTATTAAAAAAACGAAACGATAATCATTGAAGAGACTTTAATACTGGCGGGAAAGTAAGTCATGTTTGTTTGTCCACGTACAGAATATGATCCATTGAATTGATTGGCTTACCACTGTCACGTGTCTAAAAGTTATGACTCATCTCCCCACTGGTACCCAAGTCTTTGATATTTACTCTAAGCTGTTCTTTATCTTGTTCGTGACTTCGCGTTCAGCAACATTCACAGCTGTTATAAATTATTACCTCAACACTAATCTTTTTGAATCCCAACCCCTCGACTCCATGTGAATATTTTTCACCACATTGAGGATGTACATGTATAGCTTATAATTTGTAGTTTTTATTTACTTTAATTTTGAGCAAACTCCCCCACCTTATTTAATACAAGCCAGACGGCTCCGTTTTATTAAACGTGTGGCCACCAAGTTCAGAAGGAGTGTGCTAATTTGTGTACACACGGTGCTGTGAAGGTGTTCAGCGGTATGTACTAACTTACACAGCGTGTACATGACAAGTTTGTGGTGCGAACAGTATGGCAAGAGTATAGCAAGAGTATAGCAAGAGTATAGCAAGAGACAAGAGCACAGAAAGAATAGAGCAATTGTTTATTCTATGAGTATGGTTTCGGACTTCGGTTCTAAGTTCACATCAAGTGCGAAAATGAACCTTGATTCGAAAAAATGAACATGGATATTCTTTAATTTGATATATTCCTCGAATGAGTGGTGATGGTAAGTCATGCCAGAAAGAATTAATTCAGTGACTGAGCTATAGAGGCCAACGTATGTATATTATATACTGACTTTTGCCCCCCCCCTGTATTCTGAGACTGATTTATGTTAAAAGTTGGCGATGTAAACCAATTCTTTTAGATAATGTTATACGATGCATATTAATACACCATTGACCACATCTATATTAGATCTCGATCACTTATGTATATCTATTGTTTATCGATATAGCATCATGAAAACGAAAATTTACATTAGCATTGACGTATTTACCTCTAAGTACTATCCGTGCTAAAAATATGTAAACATATTATGAACACTATTAAACTAAAGGTCACTAAATAAGAGTTATTAATTAATGAGTACATTTTCAGTAGACAAGCTGACTATTAACTATAACATTAAGTAGACTAGAAGATTAGTAACTATAACATTAAGTAGACTAGAAGATTAGTAACTATATCATTAAGTAGACTAGAAGAGTAGTAACTATATCATTAAGTAGACTAGAAGATTAGTAACTATATCATTAAGTAGACTAGAAGAGTAGTACTAACTATAGCTGTTGCTTGATTAAAATCAGTCAAGCTAAGTCAACATTGGATTGATCGACTATAACTGTAAACTACATATTTATATTGTATTATTGTAAATCTAATTCTAACCAAAATTCCAGGGTACATTGAACTATCGAAAGAGATCGAAAAGAACCAAAATAATCGCCACATCACTGATGAGAACATAACAGTACCAAACCACATCAGCAAGGCAGCTTGTTATGTTGAGGATGCCAGGGACGGCAGGTTAGTCAACATTACTCTTTAGTGTAAACTGTAGTGTAGACTTTAGTGTAGACTTTAGTGTAGAGTTTAGTGTAGACTTTAGTGTAGACTTTAGTGTAGACGTTAGTGTAGACTTTAGTGTAGACTTTAGTGTAGACTTTATTGTAGACTTTAGTGTAGACTTTAGTGTAGATTTTAGTGTAGACTTTAGTGTAGACTTTAGTGTAGACTTTAGTGTAGACTTTACTCTTTAGTGTAGACTTTAGTGTAGACTTTATTGTAGACTGTAGTGTAGACTTTAGTGTATACTTTAGTGTATACTTTATTGTAGACTGTAGCGTAGACTTTAGTGTAGACTTTAGAGTTTAGTGTAGACTTTAGTGTAGATTTTGAGCTTGTAGACTCTGAAGATGAACCATTTATTATTTGTCACATCAGAGCTGCCTTTAATTTGAGTTGTCACGTGTTCTAAAACTAACACTACTACTACACTACTAATAGTAACAACACATCATGGTAAATCTCTTTCCACTAATCTTCTCGAACCCGTCAAATTACGATGATTTGTTTCTGGCTGAGCTTACAAACAATTAATTAAGACGTCTTCCCATAGTATAGCTCCAGTATCCTTCTCGTGTTATGTACTCATACTTATTTTGATCTTCAGTACAGCTATTAACACTATGTTATAGACTGTATAGCCACTATCTAAGTAGACCACTCCGAATGTGGTTGTTGAGTACTGAAATTATTCATTCTGCACACAACCATTATTTTGTTTGAAAACAAACAACCTACGCAACCACTGATACAACTATACAAGTTACGGCCATGTTGCGTAACTGTAACATGGTACGTAACATGTTACGTAACTGCCGGTCTAACTCGTCACATTCCTGGCCCCTCCCGAAACCCTTTGTTCCGGTGAGTACCTGTGTACACAGGGTTACAGTGTGGCAGTGTTTGATGAGGTGCGAAAATGATTGAATTGTGTGTTAAACGATAAATGATTTAAAACTGAACTATTTTCAGGCTTGCCAACGGCAAGGGTAAAATGTCAGAAAAATCACGGAAAATACAGCTGTAAGTCAAGTTGGGTTAATATGGCTTTTTCTCTCTTAGATTTGTGAAATGTGAAATTATTGTTGTTTCTGTATTTAAAAATCCGACTTTCACGCTCTTCGGCATATTGCTATATTGTAAACGTCAGCCGACTTGTTCTAACAAAGCTTTCTAATTTCTGTGAGGGGTGCCGCCGTTAACGTGGCATTGTGCCCTCGTATTGAGTCACTGAATACTCAAATTTAAACATATTTAAACAAATTTAAACAAATTTCTCAGTACTCACCTATACTAACTTTTTCAGGTGTTTTTTCATACAAACGCACGATTGGTGGGCTCGGTTTATATACCTCTCAATCGTCTTCCTGGCTATCCTGATATTCTTCGAGCCACCTTCCTCCGCCGCTATCACCGTTTGTGATCAGGAGATGTTCAAGTTTAAAAGTGACAGCAAAATCTGCCAAAACAAGAGCATTATCAAGGACTGGGAAGCTTGGACTCTTTTTGTTGAATTTTTATTAATTATGGTGAGTGGCCTGGGCGCCTTATTCATTGTTAGCATTCTATAGCGACTGTTTAATTTAATAAGGACAATGGATACACAATAATTTGTGCATGCCTTTACCGTTATGGCAGTTAAATGTGTAGCTAGATTTTTGGAATTTGTGCATCTATCGAAATGTGTTAGTAACAATCAATTTAATTACTTTCAGATATTTGTTACTGATGTATTTATGAAAGCTACTTATATGAAGCCGAGTGTATACTTTACAAAGAAGTGGCACAAGTGAGTTATAACACTTTTACTTTTGTTGATTGCCATTAATTGTCCATAAGACTTGGACCAAAATTCGTGAAAATATGGCTATTTACTTTAGACTTATATTATACCTTTATACATACATGTTATTATACATATCATGTTATTATACATATCATGTTATTGATATGAAATATGAAGTAAAATCCCATCCTAGGCCAAAGTAAGTTATTTACTCGGAAATAGTCTGGCCGTTTCTTAGAATTACAAGTTGTATTTGCACTTACTCTATTAATATATACATTATACATACATGCATGCTATCTAGCTGCTATCCAGTGCTTTAATGTACTTATTCCAATATAAACTAAAATGAACTCCATTTCAGGGTTACAACATTTTTTATTTTATTGTTTTCGATTGACTGGATCATATTCACCTGCACATATTACGCCATGGATCAGAAAGGAGTGAGTTAACCTTTTATTACTTGTATTACTCTTGTTACTCTTATTTCTTTAAGTAAAACCAAAGCCTTTTTTGGCTGCTATAAAAGCTGATTTAATTGAACTACTGATACTATATTTAGACTGACACTAACCTCCTTCCCCCAGTTGCGGTTCAGCAGACCATTCAGACCTGTGCTACTCCTCACAAGATACCGAGAGTTACGTCGAATCCTGGAAACCCTTACAGACATGTTGAATGAACTGATAAAGCTTACATTTGTCATAATTTGCTTTGTTCTGTTCTTTGCCTGGCTTGGAGTGGTGAGTGACTTTTGTTTGTTGGTAATCCTGAAAATATCCTTTTTGTTTCGCGAATGGTATTTAATACATTGTTGTACCTAATTTTAAGGCATTTTCTTTGGATGATATCTGTCGCAATGTGGCCTGTAATTCTAAAAGAAAGAATTTCATCACAAAGAAAAGATAGATTTGGTGGAACAATGTGTGATATGTAATGGCCTAATACAGCGGACATAACCCAGTCATTACTTCATGGCTTCTCCAAATAATTTAAAACAATTTGACAGATATGTGGAATGTACTAGAAGTAAGTAAAGTTATTTAAAACAGGCCGCAAAACCAGTAAATACCCTGAAAATAGTCCAAAACAAGTGGCTGCCATGATCTAATATTACAATTTCACTCCACTTGGTAACAAGCAGTCAGCAGGACTGTGCTTTGTGTACTGACTACATTACCTCTTATTATGAGGCCTGGAATTTCCTCTGCCGTCACATGCCCTGCCTACACCAGCTACAGCTATTCACATACGCATTTTCAGACGTTTTTCGGGAAGACGTACATGTTCACAAAGAACTGCATCGACCCTGACCACGGATCAGTATTACAAAAGCTGGAGACAGATCCGGAATACTGTGTTAATACACCGTGCTGGGACCGGTCCAAGTTCCCTTTCTGCCTCTGTACTGGCGAAGACAACGTCACTATCAATGATATTGAATATCAGACTGGATGTTCTGTGCCGAAAAAGAAATTTTCTGGTCCTTACGTCGAGGGAGAAACAGAAACTTACAACAACAGCTTTAGTGATCCGCTGATAGGCATGGTCCGACTGGTTGTTCTTATCTCCACTGAGAACTATCCTGATGTCATGTGTAAGTTATTTTTATTTCTATCTGAAACAATAATATGGAGTCTCACAACTTATTGTGCGTGTAGCTTATTGCAGCTGTAATTTGTTGAGGCCGTTTAATTTTGGAATTTATAGTGTTACAAAAAGGGTCTACTGAAAATTGTCACTTTTAATACACGTTTCATTACTGGTAGCCCTCACAGCGATGGCGCGCCGTATTATCCAACAAATTGACATGAGCTAGCTAAGACGCGCGCACGCGATGTTATTTTATCTGACATGCATGACAGCTTATATTAAATTTCAATTTTAAAATGATCTGCAATCATTACTAATATAATCGAATAAGATGTGACCTATTAAATTATTTCAGTGCCGGCGTTCAAAGCTAACAGTGCAAATTTTCGTAAGTATACATTTTAACAATTTCTTAATTTTTCTGAAAATGAAAGGTACGTTTTATTTTGATAGATAACTGGTCGAAAGAGTCCATAACAGATAATATTCCTTTTATTCAGGGAACAAGATGCAGGGTCTTTAGTAAATAATTTAAGAAAATGTCAATCAACAATCTTACAGCCTTCTAAACACCTTTATTTCAGTATATTTCATCGTGTTCATATTCATTGGAATGTTTCTGTTACTTTCTGTTCTGCTGGCTGTGATTGTTGAGTTTTGGCTGTCTTATCTTAAGAAGACCAACGATTCGGAAAAACGGAAGGAGAGGCTAGGGATAACCAAAGCCTTCATTTGGATCGACAAAGACCGTAAGTTACCGCTGAAAAAAAAAATTGGTTAAATATCCATCCGATGATCATTGCCGTTGTTCCTTTATGCCTCCAATGATAGACCCAAAATTCACGCTTTGTACGGTCAAGTTTGAAGAAGAAAATGGCAAGAATTGAAATTTCGTGAATGATTGTCACCGAATTTTCAAGGCGAAAAAGGCAAGGGATTGCCACGTCGCTAGGCTGGAGCCACAATAATATGAATTTTGCTTCAGAGAACTATTATATAAAGGAACACTCGTGGAACGAGCTTATACTGCTGCTAAAGAAAGATTTCACGAAACTCCAATCTCACTTCATGTTTCAAATGCTGGACTGGGAGCAAAAGGGGCAGCTGGATGTGTTAGACTTCCTGAACATTGCTGAAGCGTTAAAACTCCACTATACGCTAAAAGACGCTGACACGGCTATAGAAAACACGGAGATAGGACAATTTGCACGGTAAATACTGTGTTACCCTGTGTTTATGCGTGATTGTCTTGAAAATGTATTGTTTGCAGAGTTACACGGCAGGTGCAGCAGCCCTAATGTTTTCTTTTGCTTTTTACTGCTGCTCAACTGGTAGCCGTGCCGGCCTGCAATCTTCAAGTTGTTTTATGTTACTAATTAGAAGTCCTTTTGAACTTGATTGTCCGATGTTTTAGCAGTTTATTCTTATATCGGGACTTTCCCTAAAATAGAGTTTCGATTTCCCTAAAACTAGAATTCTGATTTTTTAGTCTTGAAACCGCGTTCTTGTAAAGTAATGAGGTGGTGAAATGGTAAACCTTTGTATTGACGCTTTCTCTTAAAGGTTTTTCTTACAGGCGGATATTGAGTTACGGCTTCCCTATCACTTTCTTCGGGCTAATGACTCCGAAGACGGTGAACGTGCAAACGATATCCATCTTCTTCTCCTTCATCCACACAATCCTGTCTGTTGTGCACTACAACAACGTCCCTCAGAACTACATCATTGCCCGAACTACCATCAATACAGTTCTTCTCTTGGTTCTTCTGTCAGAGGTTGGTATTTAGTTCTACCTGTTTGCTCTTCAGTATATAATGGGGACTTTAGTTTTTATTAACTGCGCTGAAAGCGGGAAATATCCCACTGCACTGAAAATGTGCTCAGTTTGGATTTGATACGAAAATGTGAAGATTCATTTTAAGCTAATCTTGAATAATTTCTAGGTTCTGTTGCGAATTATGGCAAGTGGCACGGGCTTTCTTCATCCGTTGATAAACAAGTGGGAAGTGACGAGTATATCAGCCGCTTTCATCGCTATGATTGGATACTGGATAACGTAAGCCTTTCTGCGATATAATTGCAAATTGTTTAAAATTTCAAAGCATCTTCACTACCCTGTCAAGGCTCATCACGATAAAGATAGGTTTATGTATTAACTATAATACCGGTAATTAGTGTTATAATTAGTGTGTAATTATTAATTAATCCCCTGCAGGTGGTTGTCCTCGTTGAAGTCTAGTTCGGGGGCTATTGACCACACAATGCCTCAAGCTGATGATTTTTTCCGGCTAACATGGGAATCCTTCATACTTTTCAAATTGTGTCTACAATTCCGGGCTGTCAGTGGAAATTTGGTCTTCATGTACAAAGTACTTATCTCAAATTTGCTACACTTTTCTTTTCCTAAATACAATCATTTAACTTGTCAAGAAGCAGAATTCCGGTTAATCATATATAATTGAATTGTTCTTTTTTTCGAATCGGAATGATTCCCAAATAATATTGTAATCCGAAAACTAACACAAAACTAACGTTACTCACTTTCCTCAGGTGCTGGTGGTTCTCTTTGAACTGTTCTTTTTCATTTTAATCATCATGTACGTCTTCTTAGGAATAGGCCTCGAACTCTTTGCCATAGCAGATGGTGGCAACGATAACTATTTCGCGCATTACGAATGTGAACTGGTAAGTGAGCCGGTTACCAGGACTGTTACCCTGGTGTTAAGACATTAACTTTCTAATTTTATCTGTCTTTTCCTCCTTACAGGTGCTGTGTGTACTACTGATGCTAATGCTCTTTGTTCTCGTTATCTGTTACGTATTCTTGATAATCGGTTTAGAATTGTTTGCGGTATCCTCGAACGAATCTCTGGCCAGAAATTACTTTCAACATTACGGCTGCGAGCTGGTAAGGAGGCACCGCAAGTTTTATAGTCCAGTGCCAGTTGCCGCTTTTTAAGCCGCGTGACCGCTTGCCCCATGCCAGCCAGCTTTTCAGTGTGGTTTGTTAATTAGCCTCGTTTCCTGGCCAAGCTACAGAGTAGAGTAAAGAATAAAGATATTCACCAAGGAAGGGGACTAACTTTTAGTTGGTCAAATAATTGCATTGTGTGAACGATGTGAGGACAGTATAGATAGAAAATATGGAAGAATAAATTCTAATCTAGGCCCAGCTGACTGCTGTAGTGTACTCTAACTGGTATGACACTCCTACCTAAAAACGAAACATATTATTATTAAAGGGAGTCATTATATATCTTCGTTTAGGTTTCCAAGTTAGCATACTGACCTCTGTTCTCAGTATATAATATATAGTTAAAGTGTTAAGGCCACTGATGGTACTACTACTAGACAGAATAAGTTATTGTACTACTGTACGAATATGTATATTGGATCTGACTGATAGATGCCTTCAAGGATAGATTATATTTAGATAGATTTATAACCTGCCTCATACTGAACTGGACTGAGGCGATTGCTGCAAGATGTTCGCCCTTCGTCCGACCTTGTGTTCAACAGTAGAGCGAGAGGGTTCGCGTCTTTTGCACAGCTCAATGCTTTGTTGCTTACATGTGTAATGTGTATGCTATTGTGTGTTGCTTTTTCATCCATTTTATGTTTCCATGCTATTTCGTAATCCAGATTTATCATATCATATCGATTCAAATTCCAAGACAAACGACAGAACTAAATATTTTTTAAACATAGTAATAATAGTTATCAGATATTTTCAATGTTATCAATCGTGATGCTAATTTTTGCTTTTACAGCTACCATTAAACATGAAAAAGTGTTATAAATTTTACCAAATTAAGATTATTTATAACCCAATACTCTAATAAGCTAATACTGAAACATTTGCTGAAATACTTACTGACGCGAGTTCTTCCTCAGGGATTTATAGATCCTAGTTGTGGTCTGATCACCCTTCTGCAACTGATCACCACTAGTAACTGGCACTCTGTGATGAACTCAGTCTACAAGGCTAGTGGGTGGTGGGCCTACATATACTTCATCCTCTTCTACATTGCCATTGATCTGATCTTGCTCGATTTAATGATCGCCATTGCCATCGAAATGTACAACGCGGTCAGTCGACAATCTGATGACACCTTCGGTGAACAGCCTGGTATTTGCTTTGAGGTAAGTAATATAGCTTCTTACAACTGTTCAACTACTGTACTGTTGAAATTGTTATTATCCTTTCTTCGTTATCAAGGGTAACTTTTATGGAATTATTTATTAGTGCAATGTGTATTAACTTATTAATAATCCTTCTTTTGATTCCTATAAGTAAATTATGTTACTTTTGAAGAGTTTTTTTTTGGTGGTTTATTGTTAATCGTAGTGTGGTATATATCAATAAATCTTCCTATGATTACTATATGATATATTTAAAGTTTTAATTTTTCCTAAATAGATTTGTTTTTGAGATGATTTAGTTGTTTGTTGCTGGATATTTTCACCTCACCCTTTAGAACCGCTCTGACATGGTTAGTACCTGGCACTTGTGTCAGTTGCTAACCATATGGGCGGTATACAAGCACATTATTTCATTTCATTTCATTTCATTTCAAGACATGTTGGACTTCAATAAAATGACGTCGTCTTATATACCCGAAATAACTCTTCCTCTCCTCAGGTATACGAAGGGAAAATCCCGGAGCCATCCTGCCCCGTAGCTGCTGCCGTTGCTAAACCAGAACGTCGCAGATCTCGGCTTGGTTCAATATTCAACACCAACGGTACCTCTCAACCCGAACCTTATCGTAAACTCATTTTAGAGGTGACTCGTAGTAAGAAAGGATCCTGGCGTCAGAGCATCATTACAAGTGAAATCTTTAACATCGATTCTAACGAAATTGATGATATCCAGCGTTCTTTAGACAAGGATTACCCTGGTGCCAAGTCAAAGGAAAAGCACCATGGCCATGGGCATGACGGTGAATCAAGGGGAATTGAGGTGAAGCTACTGTATTCGGAAAAGAGCAACGAGCGTATGAAACTCAATAAACCAGACTGTAAGCTTTACATAAAATCAGAGTTCATGGATCTTAACGAGCAACCACAGGGTAAAATACTGATGGAGCTCAACGACAATCAATCTAGTCTGCACTTCAAACTGATCTTTAAGAGCCCGAGTAAGCCAATACGGGGGATAATAAGGAACAGCGACGACGTCAAATGTGAGGATTATTACGAGCTGGATGAGGGCGAGTTTTCGTTCCACGCCCACACAAACGACTATCACGTTTACAAACATTGGAGGATGAAGAGAAATCAGAAACAGAACCTGATCCACGGCCAGGTCTCCTTCCTCATCATGACCAAGGATAAACCGAACGGGGCTATGGTGGCTGAAATTGATGGTGTCCAGGTTCGTTGTTGAAATTTTACTCAGCAGTCACAAATATGGAAAAAATGGTATAAATTAATCGATTCACAGGCGTCCAATTTAGAATACTGCCTTATGCGAGGTTTTAATTTGCTCTAATCTTTTAAGTACCAGTCCGTTTTGTATAATATTTGATCCTGGATACCCTTTTCAAACAAAGTTTATCCATCATTAAACTTTATTCTACTAATCTAAGTGAAGAGAATTGTGAATCGTTTACGTTTAATAACCGGTACAATAATTGCAGGCAGAAAAGCAGCGATGGATGCTGAGAAAGGAAGAAATCCAACAAAATGCCGAAACTTTCGGAAAAGTGTCTCCCCTTCTATCTTGGTTTGCTCACAGGGTAACAACCCACGTCATGAAGGACGACGACACTGACGAGGAGGACGAGGGTGCGCTGGAAGAAGGAGCTCTTGTTAAACAGCAGGTAAAGAAACAGGTACAAGCACAGGTTCATTGATTCTGCATGCTATCTTCGGGAGGGTCTTTACCCTTTCTGTTTTAGCATGTTGATAATTGAAACCCGGAGTTGGTTCAATAAAACCGAGGCAGCCCGTTTTTTTTTTTTTTTTTTTTTTAAGAGAGGCTGGGCCAAGATAGCCCACGAGAGGATAGCATTGAGATGCTCTGCCTACCTCTGGGGTGTGGCAACCTTGGGGAAGGTTGCCGGTGAAATCAGAGTGATTGGTGGAGGATGGTGTAAGATGATATATGAGTCAAAATGATACGCTTAAATGCCAGCTGGGTTTGGAAAAGTAAAACGAGACGAGACAGCATATGAGCTAATACTTTAAGTCACCCCGGTCTGATCCAGCTCTTCCGGCACAATTAAGCGTTTGGTGCGGTTTGCGAAATTGACAATTGTGGTGATGTGTTGGTTGTCGAATATGTCATTGACAGAGAGGTAGTAGTCCTGGAAATATTGACCTCTTATTTGGGCAATAGCTGGACACTGTCCAAGGAAGTGTGAGACAGTTTCCTCTCCGTCGCCGCACATAGGACAAGCACTGGTGTTTGATTTGCAAATGGTGTGAAGGTGTTTGTTTAAGCCGCAGTGACCCGTGATGAGGTGAACTGCAGTTCTGTAATCTTGTCTGTTTTTGCTGAGTGTAGTGTTGAGGTTTTTGATGATTTTGGCATGCTTGTGGCCGAGTGTCAGTTTGGTGTGTCTGGGACCGTCAGTTAACCAAGTTTCCTGATTCAGTCTGTTGACTTTGTTGTCGATTTGACGCTTGATGTAGGATTGTGGAATTGGACACTTCAAAGTGGATTCACTGGTTGTACCAAGCTTGGCCTAAAAGGCAGCCCGTGAGCATGTACATAAGCATGAATTCGTGTTATATTCTGTTTCAAATATTTTATAGTTAAAAAGTGATGGCATGGTAATTTGATGATATTGAAAGATTTATTTGACAACAAAACCTGACGTATCCACAGCTCCTTATATTCCAGGAGTTCAGGAGAAAAGTTTACATCCCTAATGAGTATAAACAAGAAACTCGATTCATCAACGAGGCTCACAAGGAGTGGCTGAACATGTACCAGAGAGATGTAAGTACCGGGGAGGGGGGGGGGGGGGGCAAGTACAATCATTTTATAGGTGTTTTGTATATTTATGAGTCGTGATCACGTTTACCATCGACATTACCGTATTAGGACATCAATGTGTTAAATTGTGTACTTATTGCTTGGTCACGTACAATGGCCTAACCGTTAACATCCTCAGATCCCTGAAACACTAGGAGATAGCCCTGCTGCCGTTCTGGACCAGGTCAAGAACTTCATGGTTAATCAAACCAGCACAAGTGGAGGTTTGCTTGCTCCGCCCGGCAGTATCGGTGGCTCTATCGGCTCAAATCGACACAGCTTTACGCTAAACGACGATTCATCGTCTGATGATGACGATGATGATGACGATGACAGCGATGATAGCGACGATGACGATGATGATCCTAAACCGGGTCTTCAAATAGCTGGCGGTGCAAACAAACTCAAGGGACTGTTCGAAGCCATCGCGAACGCGCCCGAGCGGAAGCTCAGCACAAACTCCCGGAAATCATCGACAAGTTCATATAGGTCACAGAGGTCGAACAGATCGAGTAGATCTCAGCCAACATCGAGTGCCAAACCGTCACTAATCATCCCACAAGTCATCAACACGGACCATGATGAGGAAATTAGTCGAACTGCTGCTCGAGCGTCTTCTCCAGGTAGCTATACCAACATCTTCATTCTTCATTTTTATAAGCGAATAGAGTATATCTGTTAGCAGTGTTAGCACTATTGGTCATTTGTACACGTAAAAGAAGTGTTCTAAAATGCCCTTTTATTTCTCAGCGCATTTATTTTATCGACCAAGTACGGACTTGACTTTCGCAGCAGCAAATGACGAATCGTTACCCATGTTAGATGACTGACGACAGTTAAAAGATTGACTGACCGACTAGCGATTTTGTAATACTGACTGAAGAGTATCAACTGCGATTGTAGTTGTGTATATCGTGTGAAGCCAATAAAAGTTTCATATCATCCTAAAATTTAACTCATAATTTATTATTAAATGCAAGATTCGACACTTCCCAAATGTATACAATTCCCCTTCTAGACATTACTCTAGAAAATCGACCGATGAGTCCGGAGGTTGATATCTAATCTGTCCGATAACACCCCATGTCCGATAAGTACACATGTAAATCGTGGCACATGTTTGATTGTCTTCTTTGTCAATATTCCTGTTTTTCGTTTGTAACTCTGTGTGATGTTCTTATTGTTGATGTTATTTATTCACATGCATTTAAAGCAGCTGTTTGATTCGCAGTATCATTTCAAGAATAAAAACAAGTTTTGAATCGTCTTCGTTTAGGCAGACCTATTCAAGGCATGTCTGAATACAAAATCAAATCGTAATCAAAGATACTGTCAAAATCATCAATTGAAATGAGATATTGATGTGAAAATGAACGTTACATAAACGTAACTATAGACAATTTTTAAACAATCTGATACTAATTTTTTTTGTCTTCAAGTTTACCTGCGTTCATTTCTGATCCATTTTCCCAGTTTTCAAACGCTCTCGAGATCTGTACTTTCAGCCCCCCATTTCGTTTTGTTTCATTGCAATCATTTGAAAGCATTCCCAACAAAGCCAAAACACACATGACTGTCGACTATATTATTCATTTTACCGACGAACACATACCAAGTACCAACGAAGCTTGGAAATCCAACACTGATAACACAGACCTTAACAACGATACAGATGAACAAATGAAGACCTACAACGACTACTTCCACTAACAATAACTGAGACTTTGGACCTTGTAGCCCTATATCTAAAGCATCCCCAGACTGATTTAACTCTAAACCCTCTGCACTCTCTAAATTTGTAATCTCTCTCAGATCTCCACCCAACTCTAAAATCCGCATCCTCCGCTCCTTGTTCGCCCGGACTTGAACGAACAATGCCGTCCAAATCACCGGCGTCGTCAGAACCTTCAGCGCCGCCATCAGAGGATTGTTCAGTGTCAGTTGGGGAACAAGAAAACGACGTGAACGTGTGAGATCACGCGATGTCAATGACGTCACGTGGCGCTAACGCGTGAGCCTTGAAATCACGTGATGCGATTACAATGCTGACACGTGAAGAGCCGCGCACGTGTGGCATCACGTCACTCACTATGAATTACGTTACGTTCGAAATCAATATAGATCGCACCTGACACAGCCAGAGTATTGATTGTTCATGTAGCGGGGTTTTGTAATGTTACATGCGGTTTAGTATGATGTATTATGAGTTAAAATTCTTTCGACTGTTTTACATTTTTGAAACTTTGAGTAATTACGGTGTTTGGTATTATGTATCTTTGGTTTTTAAAATTATTTGATGAGGCATTACCATGTATTTAAAGATGTTAAATATATGATACGCTGTAAAATCATGCAATCAATATTGTTACAGCATCTTTGGCAAAAAATTATAACTTTAACATGTCTGTTAGAGTAATACGCAAAATGAAGACATAATATAGTAAACAAGAAAGCATCTGAGGAATATGCTCTACACACGATACGACTGATCCTGTATATTTAGTTTTATTGTAAAATGTAAATACAACATATTAGGTCAAGACCATTGCCATGCTTCCAGTTTCGACCACCCTTTTCAGTAGATGTTATAGTAGATAACATCTACTGTAGATGTTATAGTAGATAACTATTGTGTCTGCAGAGTGCAGGGCTAGTTCCCGCTAGTTGGAATGAGGTTAGGATGATGTTGAATTGTAATTTTGGGAAATAGATCGTTAGATCAAGATATTCCGATTTTCGTTCATAGTACCGTGCTTTCGGAAGTACTACTAATATAAACTTCGTTTTAAACAACGGTTTATTACTTTTAATTTTAATTCTCGCCTTTTGATAGTCACCGTTTTAAGTTCACTGAAACATGTAATTATACCTTCCATCAATATCATATTTTAAATGTTTATTATCATAATTACAAAAAAATAAAGTGCTGAGAAATAAAAGCTGATTAATTGAACAAACGGGGAGTGCAAGACTTCCCTTTTTATCAAATCCTTAAGTTAATTGTAAGTCTCACATTCACAACCGTAATTTCCACCTTTCAAAGTTCTGTTTTCGCACATTCATCAATTCTGTATCTAATATTAAAGACGATTTTTGAAAGAATTAAGATATTTGATTAATATTGAAACTGAATCAGGACTCACATTAATTTGTCCTGTGCTAATCTGTCCTGCAACTTTTCGTACCGTGTCGAGTATTTAATTTTAACATTCAACATAAACTGTCTTTTTACTTCTTTCTCTAAATAACAATTTATCGGAACTTCTTTGAATACTACTCACTAGTTTATTTAAGATGCGATTTTAAACAAATTTTTGGTATCAAAAATGATAATGACACAAAGTGCAAAGGCAGCCGAGAAAAGGAAAAAACGTTATAAAGTTGGCGCAGGTTATAATTATATCTCCACTTGCTTATTAAAAATAAAATAAAATTATTCAAACAATATACACATAATGGTCACAATGACCCTAGATATTTATAAAAACAACCCTTCAAAAAATCAATATACTCCCTATCTCAAATATTGGGAGAAAAATTTGAATATCAACCTTTGCCTTGTGCCTGTGGCTCCAAATTCAAATCTAAACTGTTTATATCAACAAAGTTCTTTCTCGCACCTCTGTCCCCCGTAGAGAAAGCACATCGAATTTGATACGTATGAAATTGAAATGGCATGGCTCTTACTAATTCGCTCGCCCAACAAGAAATGCGGCCGCTTTTATTTTGTGGATGGCCGCTCCTCAAAAGATATGGTGAAGTGATTGGCCGACTGCCGCCCAGTTAGTATCGGGGCCTTCTACTTAGGACGTCCGGCAAATAGGGAGGGGGTGGTTTTAGAATTTCGGACAAATCCGGATAGGGGAAGGGGGTGGTTTCTGAAAATCCGGACAGTTCAATTTATTTCAACTCTTTGACACTGATTACTTTGTAAGTTTAGATCCCTGTATTTTGAACGAGAAGTCGATTCCCAGATCGATCAGCAGCTCACGAGAGCCGAGACACAACTCGCATATTCTCATACTGCCTTAAAACTTATTTGATTGAGTGGCTACTTTAATACAATAATGCCTTCGGCTCTTCGGGTTCCGCTTGATAATTCCCGACAGCTTGCTGGAGGGAATTTGCGGCCCGAAGAACCGGAGGTATTATGTATTATAATATTTTCCGGTTCCGATTAGGAAGGGGTGTAATCCGATACGTGCGCATGATACAATATAGTGTCTAATATATAGAACGCCAGTGTTATTTGTTTTACAACTTGCCGCCAGCCAGTCTGAGGTCTATGCTGATAATACTTTCGCTTCCCTTGCGGGATATATCGGCAAATTATCAGCTCTCAGTGTCCGAGACTTTTAGTGGATATAATTCCCGGAAGGTATTATAACTTATATTAGTCTTAAGTACAGGGTGGGCCAAAAGTAAGTACCCATACGTTGTTGGGTCTTATACCTCCGCCGTAGTTAACGGGGTCACCTTATCACGTGATTAGGTAAGCCAATCACCTGCTCACACGTAATGAATAAACTTGTTAATCATAATGTTATGCTTCGTATCTCGGTCATCTGAGAACAAGCTATAACTCTAATTTTTTCAGGACAAACGTAATTCGAATGACCAAACACAAACACAATTCAATAAAATTTAGCTCGATCCGACTGTCCAAATTATCAAATAAATGCGAAAATGAATCTTCATTTGAAAAAAATGAACACGAATATTTGTCGAGTTGACAAATTCCTCGAACCAGTGGTGGTACTAAATTATACCAGAAAGAATTATTTCAATTGAGCACTCAGTGACTGAGCTATAAAGGCCAACGTATGGGTACTGACTTTTGGCCCACCCTGTACTTAAATGTAACTGTGCTAAACTTGTTCGATTTTATTGTCTATTTTAAGTAACTACTAACTCATAACTTGGTTTTATTTGTACTCTTAATATAGGGGGGGGGGGGGGGGGCTAAGATGAGAAGTACGGACTCGTTTAGGGGGAAAAGTACGTACTTGTACGCAACTTTGAAAAGTCCGACTCATACGACGTACGATTAAGATAGAATTTTTTTGTTTTTGAATTATTATCATCGGGGCCGTTGTATAATGTAATTGTTTGTATAATGTAATATGCCGTTCGCGAACAAATTAAACACACAATTCTTAGATCAGGCAGGCATTTAAATTTAAACGTAAAACACAAATTACTAGACAATTTACTTACTCAAACAGCTTGTTTAAAAGCTGTTTTGAAAACGCTCAATATAAGTCCGTAACTTGCGATTTAGAACTCTTCCATTAATTTCTAGAAGGAGAACTTTTCAGTAGAATTGAAAAGTACGTACGATACGAGTAAATTGAAAAGTCCGACTCATTCGTACTTCTCATCTTAGGGGGGGGGGGGGTCACCCTGATTTTTTTGTGAAACTTGTTTTCGAGATAGCAGTTGACCAACAAACTAGGACCGGTGACCGAACTTTTGAGGGGATCCCAGACCCCAACCGCCAAAAGGTGCCCGCGGGTCAGCCACGCCCATATTTAGTCCAAATTTAGCCAAATACCCTCAACATGCCCAAAACCCAGATTTTAGGTGCTTTACTTGAAGCTAGTAATCCCCTGAACTCGCATATGAAATTTCATCAAGATTAGACAAAAAATGACTGAGTTATGAGCTAAAAACTATATACCCATATTTGGACATACGCACCAAATTTTATAAATTAGTCAAATATTAATATTTTTGAATGAAACTAACTTTATATGAAAGGTATGCCTAAACTACACATTCCCTATGCATATGATTATCAGCTCAATATCTACCTAACTGTGGATTCTGTGTGCAAATAAGATCGCAAAAAATGAAATAAATCGCCCATATCTCAGTTTGCGATATTTGCGAAACTGACTTCGCTCAAAACAATAAAACTCAATATGGTTTCAATATTTTTCCATGAAATTTTCAGAATCAACGTAGAATTGCCTCATGACCTTAACACTTAAGTTTTGGGACAGAATTTTGAGTTAGACTTGGACGGAGACCTTTTTAAAAAATTGGCGCGTGGCGGCCAAATTCTGAAATCAGGGTGAACCCCCCTTAAAATAGCTGAAAATCCGGACGTCCAGGTGAGGGGGGTGGTTTTGAAAATTCGGACACAGCCGGACAAGGGGAGGGGGCCGGAACGCCGGGATGCGGATGTCCTAGAAATAGAATATACTTATAGATCAAGATGGACCCTTATAATATTAATTCTATATTGAATTTGAAAATCGTGTACATTTTTATGTTACTATATGCTTATTGTTTATGCAACCTGATATGACACAGATTTGTGCAAAATATAGTAATATACTTACTCGAAATAATATGCTATCGATTAGAACTTATATTATTATTATTAGTGGGATACGTACATGGTGAAATTAACAATTTACTTGATCGGTTCAGCGCGCGCCAATAATAACTTAATTCAGAATATCTCGGTCCTGAATTTCACATTTCAGTGTAAATTAAATAACTCCGAAGAAGTGAACGAGGAAGCCGAAGATCCAGAAAGTGATCATACCATAATGCGATACTAATACTATTAGTATTACTTGTTTTTCATTGATCCAATAATATACTATATAGTTTATTCCAATGACAGAAATTAAAATTGACTGATATTAAAAAGTTATAATATCTTAGATATGTAAATAAGACATGAGTTTGCAGTGGAATAATTTTGGAAAAAATTTAACGAACTTTAACTAATAACTTGGACGGATCTTAAACGGACGGACTTTATTTGAACGGATATTAAAATGAACGCTAGGACCTCAAGCTCTCAAGCGTTCAATTAATGTCCGTTCAAATAAGGTCCGATAAGGTAATGGTATGTCACTTTTTGTACTCCAAATGCCGGATAATGCGGCAAAAATAAATGTGCACGTCTGTCCTAACAAATAATTGAGACTGCGAGAAACAGTCGCTACTATTATAACTGAATACAGGAGCAAATTCAACTGTCTGTGGGAAACCTCAAGCAGTTAAGGAGCTATCGACCTCCGGTTTTTCGCAAACTGTTTGTATCGTTAAAATAATACCCCCATCTTGATGAGATTCTTCAGATATTGTTAAAGCAACTGAATGTCTGCTTTACTGCAAAGCATGGAGCCCAGTGTGATGCTTCTCTTCCACTCCTCACTACCAGCATCCTGTACCTGGCAACAATCCCTCACACATTGGGTCGTCCGCACTCTGCTAAGTTTCTCGATGTAATCAGACTTATATGACGCTAAATAACACTATTTACTAGGGTACACTTTTTCACCAGTGGGGCATTTCTCGCGCTCGGAATCACGCACTTTTTGACCGCGCCCATATCGTGACCCCCACCATAAATTATCTCAGCTTCTGATTGAGATACAGAACTCAGTCATGAACCAAAATGTGCCTAAGATGCATATTTATATTAGTGCTATGAACTCAGATTTTGAGAAATAGCCGAAAATCCGATTTTACTAATACTATATTAGCAGTCTCGCAGGTAACAATTATCACACTAATTTCAAGATATCTCACTCTCAGCTTCTGATTGGAGCTAAGCACTCATCTTAGCTTGGGCATTAAAATGGTCAGAATCATCATATTTAGAGGGGTAAAGTTTTAAAGAACATGTGAATTGTGAAGATGGATTATAATAGCCTATAAGTATATTTATAATATGACATTATAAATTCCTTGCAATAGGAAGCACTTTTTAAAACGAGGGAGGGATCAGGAATCGAATTGCAATTGTTTTAGTTTATTATTGTTATTTTGTTTACACTCGGTCACTTGTCAAGGCATGTAAGGTCATTCGGCGAATTTTATTTGAAATAAAATGATGTATTTGTGTAACAATTTGAAAGTTTATTGATAAAAAATTGTAAATTATCAATTATGGTTGAAGCACGTTAACGCACTTTTGTCTTTGAATTTGCACATTTTTAAAGATTTAGTCAATTTAAAGATTTCGTTGCGTACACGTATTTTGATAACAGTGTATTATATATAGTTTGACACAATTCTATAAAAGTGAAGAGTGAAGAGGCACGGTTTATTTACAAATAAAATATGTGTGTAGCCCGGTGTCAATGTTTTATAATTATACTTATAGCCTAGCTTTTATTATTAGTATTCAAAAGATGTCTAGGTCTGCGTGGTTGTAAATATTAAACAACATCTAGCATTTAGTTTCTTGAAGCATATTTGGGGATTGTCCAGCAAAATGAGTATTGAGTTGTACGAAAAGTATTTTACAGTATTAATGTGCTATCAAGTTTTTTAAAGGGTCATGGTTTTGCAGCCAAACGGAAAGGTGTTACCTGATACCCAAGCTGCCCATACCTTGCCCGTATCACATATGTAGCAAACTTTGTCTAATGTTTCCATTGGCCGAAGTTGGATACATAATATGGAGTTCAATCATGTGACGCCAACCCTAATAACGTGGATCTAATTAATTCTTAGTGAAGCTGATCAAATGGAAGCTGTGATTTTTTTAAAGCATTGTAAAAATAAAATGCAGATACTGCGTAATAGTAATACTTTGCCATGCCGTCAATGAAGAAGTGATTTTCACGTATGCAGATGCAGAGTAACAAACTAAGATTGCAAGCTGAATTGAAATGATCAGTTAAACAGTCCTTGAATAAAACTAATGATTTATAATATCTAATATCTTGAATTATGAGCGCCAGCAGCTATTATAGAGTAGCAGCTACCGATAATTTAAAACAAGCGCTTCACAAAGTAACGTGTATGTATGCGTATTTTAAACCCTATGCCAGTTTTCATCGGTCAAATATGGTGTTATTCAATCGTTTTTTAACCAATTTTGTTCAATTGACCGATGAAGACACGTATACATAATACATGTTCGTAGTAGTAATAAATGTAGATTTTAGAGCATTATACCAAAGTCTCAACTCACCCAAGGCCTACCTAGTACTAATACTAGCAGTATCACAGCACTCTCAAATCATTCTTTGAGTAGCAACATCGTGTACTGCCCAATTCTTATTTGATACTTTTGTTTGAATAGTGGATAATTCACTGCTTAATGATTTAGAAAATAACTTTATCTTTTCTGAGTTTGACGATGTGATTTTACCGCATCCTAAAGTACTTTTTGAATAATTATCAACTGGTAGAACTAGGCCATATTTGTCTTTTCCAGCAAAAAGTTATCTTATCCTTAAGTGAGAGGCAATTGTTGAATAATGATGATCCATTCTAGTCCCAGTCTTGTTCCAGTATTTTTATAGTTATACGTGTCTATTCCTTTGTTCATTCTACAGAAGTTCATGTGTGTAGTACTTGAAGAAAAAACTTCCTATTGAAACACGATGTGACGTTAATTTCAAGCGGCGTTAGTAGGCTACATATATTACATACAAAGAAAAAGTTTCGCTAAAGAAAGATTCGCTTCAACATCGGAATATGCGACTGTGAGTTTCATTGCACCAGATGATTGATATGAGTCCATGTTGAACAGGACAATGGCCTTCAAAATTAGGTAAGCTAAACAAATAAGCTTTATTCTTTGCCACCTATACTATGCTCGTTTGTTAAAATTGTTCTGTGTACTGATGATATGTGTTCCACTGATATTGTGAAACGTTTACTTGTACCTTTTTTATTCCACAGTGAAGTCTTTTGCTCTGAGGTTAAGGCGTTGACATTGTATATGTACATTGTATATGTACATTATACAATGTACATTGTATATGTACATTGTATAATATGTACATTGTAGTTGTACAGGTGAGATTATAGTTTTACTCGTATCAAATTACAGACTTGATGGGGCTGGAAATAGGTGATAGATGGACACTGGACAGGGGCAATGCAAAATATAATTTTGTTTGGTGAATCGTGAAAATCTTTCTGGCTTTTAGTATTTCCACTTTAGTAGTACTCGTTAACTCGTTAACTCTAAGGTATATATCGTGGCATATTGCACCGGTGGAATATATTGTTGTATCCGAACCAATTATTAAATCAAATCGAAATTTGAGATGGAACTGAATGATGACCACTCTGATCTAGAGAAGCAGACTACTTCTTTAAAAGTCATCTTGAACCACAATTCAATGTCCCACTTTGATTTGTACTTAGTGCGAGAATATGTTTTGAGATCACCGTAGCACACTCTGCTTTGTATACTATACCGCCCCAATAAAATCGCTGCATTGGGACGTACCGATGCGGGTTTAATTTTTCCTGAAAGCATTTTTTGAGAGCTACATACTTTTGTTTCAGAAAGCAGTCACATCATATTTTCATAAAATATTACTACATACAGTATGCTTATGCTGAAATAAACGATGCAGATTGCAGAGCTATGCCAAGCTTTTACCTTCGTTGATGACCTCATTTTTCAACATTAGGAGGATCAGAAAATGAGGGAGGATGTTCCCTTTTGGCGACAGTGGTCGGATAATTCGAGTCATCATCTAAGCTGTTCAGGAATACAAAATAAAACCGTGTATGGATGAATTGAGCCTATTTACAAGTTGCTTTTTAAGTGTGCAAAATGAAGTATGTATTGGTAAAGACTATTATAAAACATTATTCACCACAAAATAACTTTTTAAAGGTTGTTCCAAATCAATATAAACAAGGAAAGCCCTGCTTTAGTGCTTCCTAAACGGCTGACCACTCCTCCTCTTTTAGATAAACATATACCGGCAGTTTCCAGGCCAGGCTGGAGGGTAGAGCTGACTAAATAATCAAAGATGCTAACCCGGTTATCTAAACAATATCACTATCAGCTGATTCGGACCGACCGCGACCGCGGCCGCACTCATTCATTTTTTTAATTTCTAATTTTTATTTCCCGTACCTCACATTATGACATGATGACTCACAGATCTCTGGACACCGAGCAGATACGGAGCCAAAACTGCTTAGTTTTGGGTTCTTAAGTTCCGCGAATTCTTAAATTCCGCGAACAGATCAATTAAAGGCAAAATTACCGATCTGTTGTTTACGTATGGTATGTGTTTTAGCTGGCAGGTACCAATCATGATGTCATGTTTTAACGATAAGAAAATATCACGCCATGACTACTTTTTCCAGCTTATCCACTGCTAATGTGACTGAAGCTCTGGGAAATCGTGATAGTTGTGATTAATAAACTATCTCAGAACCGTAAAATTTCTCGTTATTTTGACTGAGGGCAGAGAAGAGCTCCCGCTCCCGAGCTCGTGTTGCAAAAGAGAGGCGTGCCTTCTGAGATCGCATTACAAGGGAAGCCTCGAGTCCAAAATTGTGTATCGAGAGGTGGTAAATGCGGACTTCGGAGAACCGACAAAATATTTTCGGCTAATAATGAACAGGGTAGCATGAAACGTGGATAAAAGTGGTTTCCAGAAAAACATTTAAAAAAAAAAGAATTCGGAAAACCGAAAAGCCTTTGTAATATATAAATGGTCAACTAAAAATAAAATCCACAAATTCATACTCAACAAGAGCAGTTTAGACCCTCACCTAACAAACACTCAATGATACAACGTACTGCTTGTTGATGTGATATTTGACCTATTGTCTATTGTCAACTGCTAGGCCTAAACAGTAAACATCATCGGTGTGGTTGTAACTGTATAGCTCTTATAAATGCGGAATTTAGATATAACCAGTTGTTTCACCAACATCAATTTAATGCCTTCATCCAGTTGTTTCACCAACATCAATTTAATGCCTTCATCCAGGTAACGACCAATAGTTCTTAGGTTCATCATTGTCCAGCTACATTTCCTTTTTATTTGACATTATTTGATTATCGATCTGTCTTTCCATATTTCAAGTTTCATCAAATTTGACACCCAGACTCTTCCAGCTGTCTACTTATTGCACTCCGTAGGTAGAATTTCAGTGCTTCCAAATTGCAGTCTGACACTGAGTTCACACTTTTTTAGGACATGGCTCTTTCCTAACACCAGTAGTTCTGTCTTTGTTTCGTTCAGTTTCATGTAGTTGTTCACCATCCATGCTTTTATCTCTGCGAGACATTTGTTTGTTCTGTCTTGGACATCAGTGAACTGTACCACACGGTTTTGTTGAAACGAGCTGACAGTTGGAAATCATCTGCATAGAGCTGTATATCAAGACCATATTTAGCCGCAATTTTCTGGAGAGCTTTGATACAGAGGATGAAAAGAATAGGCCCCAAGAGTGATCAACATATAATTATAGTTAGAATGTCCAGTCTACAAGGAGATCAGACAAAGAAACAGCACAGAACTTCACAACATGCTCACAGATAGTCAATTCAGTAATTTATTTAATGAGAATTACATTCTTGAGACTAGAAATTTTATTTATAATTTATTTCGTGAAAGATTTCCTAAAAGTAAGCTGTGACTTAGTATCCATATTCCGTGCATACTTTGAAACCATTTCTTTATTTATGATATTTTGTTTTTTTTGTTTGGTTGAATAATTTTCATTTAATCGATCTGGATCTGACACATGTAATTTTGTAATGATTTTGTAATTTTGTAATGATAATTTGGTAATGATTTCTAATTTCTAATTTCTAATTTCTAATTTCTAATTTCTAATTTCTAATTTCTAATTTCTAATTTCTAATTTCTAATTTCTAATTTCTAATTTCTAATTTCTAATTTCTAATTTCTAATTTCTAATTTCTAATTTCTAATTTCTAATTTCTAATTTCTAATTTCTAATTTCTAGTTATATAAATACAACAGTATGTTATATTAATGTAGCCCATATAAATAGTTCATATTGTTATTTTTGCTTGGCGGACTAAATTTGCTGAACATTTTATTGACAGGGAAATTAGCATGGTTTCAGATTGAGAGTCCACTGAGATATTCTTTGGTTAACGACTCTTCAAAGTATCATGATCAAGTACTGTTGTAATGGAACACTTCTTTAACCGTAGACCTACTAAAGGTTTGTAAGAGAGTCACGCAAATTTCGGAATGCCAATCAGATCAGGTTTTGTGGTCATCATGTTGGTCTAAAAATCACGACTAACACGACCCAGCAATTAAATGTGACGATATTTATGTTAAATTTAACATGTTATGTTATAGCTTCGTTATTGAAGTCAAATATTGACAATCCCACTATCTCACCATCAAGTTAACCCCGCAATCCACCTCAGGATACATAGACTATGTTGAGTTAGAAATCCAGGAGAAAGAAGGAGGAACAAGGGATGAAGAGGGTGACGTCACAGTTCCTTATCATATCAGCAAAGCTGCTTGTTATGTAGAGGACGCCAGAGATGGAAGGTAATCTTATAAAGATAATATCAAAAGTATTAAAAGTAATTACATAATGATCTATTGGTAGTGTACCTGCTGTCAAGCTCTGAAATAATTGCTTGTTTGTCTGTTTGTTTGAGAAATGGGTCCCCTATAACAGAATGCATAAATAATCAATGTATCAAATAGTGAAGACTTTGTTCGAATTTCCTGGCACTCACCCCGCTGAAAGTTGCCTGACTGCTACTTGCTCACCACCGCTATACCCCAGGCTTGCTAACGGAAAGGGGAAGATGTCTGACATGTCCCACAAAATACAGCTGTGTTTCTTTATTCAGACCCACACGTGGTGGTCAAGGTTCATCTACATCTGCATTGTCTTCATGTCACTTCTCGTTTTCTTCGAGCCCCCCTCTTCTGCAGCCATTACCTTCTGTACACACGAGATTTTTAAATTTACCAAAGACAAGAAATGTACAACACATTGTAGGGACGATCTTACCATTCCTTGGCAGGAGTGGACTCTATTTATTGAAATCCTCATGATAACGGTACGAGATAAAGATGATATAACATTTTAGATACCTTTATCGGCTAATTTTTCATGGAGTCTTCCCTTTAAGATCAACTCGCCGAAAGTGATAGTCTTCATTGAGTTCATGTTTTTAAACTGACGCTATATGCTCAGCTTATTGCTTATAGGGCTGTTTACGATTCTTCTCCTTAACTTCTCCCTTTTTAACGAAATTCCTTGCGCACCGCGTATTAAAATTACTTGGATTTCTACCGCTTTGATAAAATTACTACAAGAAGATTGTTGATTTATATAATATAGATTATTTATTCTTTAGTGTAGATTAACTTTATTTTTATATATTTTACTAAGTGTGAAGGATCAACCATACGTTATTGATATTGTTGAAATATTTAATGATAAATTGATATAATAATAAATGATTGTAATATTTTTTATTGAGGCACATGCCACCCCATCGCGGGTTTACTACTACTCCTTAAAAAGTTTATTATTTATTACAGGTATTCATATCAGATGTCTTAATGAAGCAAGCCTACATGAAACCTCGGGTATATTGGACTAAGAAGTGGCACAAGTAAGCTTAGAGGGATAAGTTTTTGAATATTTAAGCGGTCCTCAATTCATTTTTACACGATTAACTTTTTCATCAATCCATATATTTCCGATATATTGAATCAAAACGTACGTTTAATTGATTCATTGAATTTGATATATCTTTAAATTTCAGAATCTCAGGGTTTTTTATTGTGATGTTCATATTAGACTGGCTTATCTTCGTGATCATGTACAGCGTCACCAAAAGTGGGGTAAGTTAGGCAGTTAAGAGGGTTCACCCTGATTTTTTGGAAAACTTGTTTTAGAGACCAACAGACTCGTGATCAAACTTTTGAGAGAATCTTGGACCCGAAACCACCATAGGTGCTCGCAGTGTAGCTTAAATAATTCGCTGAATCTTATGATTATAGATTAACTAGAAATATGTATCAACTTTTGCACTATACATACATTGCCGAGGTATTGCCAAGTTTCGTAATATTTTGTATCGATAACTTCTCTTCAGATACGGTTCAGCAGACCTTTTAGACCAGTTCTACTCCTTACGAGATACCGAGAATTGAGGAGAATTCTGGAGACATTACTGTCAATGAAGAAAGATCTTATCCGGCAAATTGCTCTCATCGTTGTTTACATCGTCCTTTTTGCCTGGGTCGGGGTGGTAAGTTTTATAAATAATAATAATAATAATAAATTATGAGCATAAGTACAAGTTATTATTCAGAATTTAAGAAATTTAGCCTATTTGATAAACGAAAAAATGCTTGAGCAACATTTCTGAACTTAAGGTTTAAATTTTTCCACTCCCAGACGCTCTTTGGGGATACATATCACTTCACGTTCGAGTGTGTAGACCTCAACTACCAGGACGTGAAGGAAAATCTAAAGAAAAACCCCAAACACTGTATGGAGAATATTTGCTGGGACACTACCAAATACCCATTTTGTGTGTGTGGTGTCCAGCAGTTTAACTGCACTTTAACGGGTTGTGATGACGACACTAACAAGTTCAATAAACACTATCTGCCAGACGATTACAGTGTCTATAATGGGTCCTTTAGTCAAATTTTGATTGGAACGGTGAGGCTGATGGTGCAGCTTTCGACTGAGAACTATCCTGATTTGATACGTAAGTTCTAGATAGAACGATACAGTATCTGTACCCTTAATTTCCTATTATACTTCTTATTCAATTCTTATTGAATCCATTATTTAGATCGAACTTCGATAATGAGGGCACATCCTTCCAGACTGTTTCAGCTTTTTTAACAAATAAACCTTCAGTGCCAGCCTACAAACAAGCAAAATTTAATACTTGTGAGTTTGGTTATATTATTAAGTCTTATCTCCATATTTTAACAGTATTATACAATGTTCATAATGTAGTTCAACTGAGAGCGTATACAAATTAGAGATTGCAACAAAATATACATAAAGCTCTGGATATTATTTTCGTAATGATCATACCACGATTCAGTCTTCACGTTTTAGCAACGAAATAAATAATCAAGATCTCGCATCTTTCAGTTTACTTCATACTGTTCATGTTTATCGGAATGTTCTTGCTAATGTCAGTCCTGCTGGCTGTGATTGTAGAATTCTGGTTAACTTACTTAAAGAAGACCAACGATAACGAGAAGCGGAAAGAGCGTCTGGGGATCACAAAGGCTTTCGCGTGGATTGATGCAGAACGTAAGTTTGTGTTGGATCATTATGAATGATCTCAAAACTCAAAAGGGATATTACATTTTTGTGCCGCCTTATTCCATTTTCGTCCTAACATTCAGAAATATAATTTAGACATAAGGTATTTAAACCTTACTGGAAATGCAAAATTACAGGAAACTATTGCATCGACGAGAAGTCGTGGAATCAACTAATCCTCCTGTTGAAGAAGGATTTCACCAAAACGCAGAGTCAGTTCATGTTTGATATGTTGGATTGGGAGGATAAGGGGTATCTTGATGCTCTGGACTTCCTGGACATTACAGAAGCATTGACTTTACGATATAATGTCAGGAACATGGCTAGTTCCATTGAAAATACAAAATATGGAGCTATTGCTAGGTTTGTATGTCTATTGATGTTTTTCACTTTTAAACTTATTGATACAATATATCGACCAAACAAATAATGGTGTTGATCACGAGAGATGTCGATCATTGACACAGCTCCTAATGGTAATTCATTCTTTCAGGAAGATCCTAGGATTTAAGTACACTTTCAACTGCCGCGGTTTTATCAAGAAAAAGACCATCAACATAGCTAAGATTGCATTTGGTGTAGTTGTCCTCCACACTATCCTAGCACTTGTCTGCACTCTTCACCAACTAAACCTAATAGATAACACCACTAAGACAAGTCTAAGGATGATTAACAGTTTACTGATAATTCTGCTGGTGATAGAGCAGGGTATGAGACTCTTTTCCAAAGGCTTCCATAGCTATCTCCAAAACTTGACAAACAGATGGGAAATTATTACGGTTGCTGTGGCTTTCTTTTCCATGATCGGCTATTGGATCACGTATGTCATTGTACCAATTCTAGAAATATAGAATACTACTTCTTTCGGATATTTTGGGCTTATTTTTTATGTTATGATCAGATAGTACGCACAAGGTTTACTGGGCGGCGCTCAGCCTGTCATTCCGCCGAATCTCTAATATGTTTATGAATATTATAGCCTGGGGTCCCTGGTTAAGCACAAGGTATCCGATTTCATCTCTGTAAATTATACATAACATCTTACAGATGGGGGATGACTCAGAACGAAGGTGATAAAAGAAGCATGATGTCTACGGTACTGGATCTGTTCCAGATAGCGTGGGAGTTGTTGATAATCCTTAGACCTAGTATCTCGGGAACTATCATCATTTTCTTCTACAAGGTATTTTAACAGAAATTGCAATTTTACAATACGTCATATCTTTGTCCTATTTATAGTTAGTCAACGTAGATCTGATATGTTTAAACAATTTTATCGTTTGACAACTTAGATTACCTTATCGGACTTTATTTGGACGGAAATTACGGTCATAATTATGGTGGACATAGCAGAGACACCGAGCCCTCCAGCGCTTACGTAAAGCCCGATAAGGTAAATTGTCCCGGGCCAAAATGATATTAACAACTACAGGTTATCAATGTACTGGCGGAGCTGTTCTTCTTCATCATTATCATTGTTTACGTGTTCGGCGTGATAGGACTGGAACTATTTGCAGTTCACAGTAACCAACCTGATGAAAATTACTTTCAACAATACGGCTGTGGAATTGTAAGCTATAATAGCATAATATATAATGTTTTACCATAACATTTTATCATGATACAGTGTTGGGGTGGTCATTCCGGGCCAACATTCGTAAAACATATTCATCGTGTGACTCAGCAAATGTTTTTTGGAAGAAATTTCTTCCATAATCATTATCTATCAGTATCTACCTTAGCTTTAAAAGATCAATCTTTGACAAAACACGTTAAACGTATCACAAACCGCTTGCTGATAAATTTGTGTCAAATCTCTCGCTATACTTCGCTTCATATTTCAATCACTTCTGAAATAAATAAATTGTTTACCTTCAGGGTTTTCAATCCCCGGGTTGTGCCAGTTTGACTATGTGGCAGCAAATAACAACCAGTAACTGGCACGACATGATGAATTCAGTCGCTCAGGCCTCTGGAAATTGGGCTTACTTATACTTCTGTATCTTCTACTTAACCATAAACTTGGTTTTGTTAGATTTGACCATCGCCATGACAATTGAAATGTACAATGCGATAAAGTCGCAGTTCTTTACCACAAACAAGTCAAGTGATGAAGGAGAAGAAAGTGAAGGGGTTGTATTTCAGGTGATCTGTTTAACTTTAATCCTTTATTTTATAAATTAACGTTCTTAGACTTCTGTCGTTGTTATTCGTCATGTACAACGCATATTAAACTTTCTCCATTTACCTCCTCACTTACAAGATTTAAGTTTTGACTAAACTCACTCTATTAACCTTGCCAGATTCAAAGCCAGGCCTCCTATTTCCGCCATAACGAGATCACGGGAGGTGGCCTACCAGAACGCAAGAAAAGTTCTGTCCCTGTTTCGGACTTGGTTTACAGGTGACAAAAAGCAGCGGTGGATCGTGGAGGAAAAGTGTCTTGGATTCTGACGCCGGCAAAATCAACACAGACGACCTGGAAAAAATCCAGAAAAGCATGGATGGAGAGAAGATTGGGCACGGAAAGGACAAGGGCAAGTTGTACATCAACAGCAAGGACTGTGATGTGAATGTGCGCCAGATGTACGTGGAGAAACAAAACGAATCTAAGAGCTTGGACCAGCCGGAGTGTGTTTTGCACTTTTGGTTCCCTATATTTGACCACCAGGACCAAGAAGTTGGAGAAATGATCATGGAGATGAAGGATCATCACTCACACGATTGCAATATCAAGTTAAACTTCGATATTAGCGATCCTTCTCTGTAAGTCGGTTTTACCTTCTTTGTTTTGAAAAGTTTTATGAGTTGTTTCTTATTCAGACAATTGGCCCAAGTCTAAGAATAAAAATTGAGTGAACGCAATTGGTTCTTAGTTCCTATATAAATGTGATCAATGAGAATCATTGATCCAGTTTCAATCCAGTCGTGATCTAGTTGAACAGCAATTGCGATCCAGTTGAACAGCAGTTGCGATCCAGTAGCAATCTTGCTAGACCAATTTTGGTCACAGGTTCAATTCTGAGAACCTTTTGGTACCCAAAATTCATGCTGATATCAACCATGTTCTTTTTCAGGCACCCACAGTTTGGGAAAATTTGCTGTGTGGTAAACGGTGAAGAGCAAATATACATGGAGAACATTACTTTTCTGAATAAAGAAAGAGATGGACTGATTAATACTGATCATGATTGGCACGGCTTCCAGGCTATGCACTGGACCATCAAAAAATCACAGCGAGTTCAACTTAAAAAGGATAACATAAAAGTCCAGGTCCATTTGATCGACATAAACAATCCTGGAATGGAATTGAGTGAAGAGGAGGCACAGAAGATGATCCTAACCGCTCATATAAGAGGATATGACGTAAGTTGCCTCATCTGTTGTCTCCTTCCTAAAATTAGGCCACAGATTAGCAATTGTTGACTTTGAAATACATATTCCAGCTGTAAAGTAAGACACAAATTTGATTTTTGCGGAAAAGTCAGTTAACCATCAAAGAGCAAAATGTAGTCTACCACAGTTTCAAATCATACGTTAACCACAGGTGGAACGAAAGCGTTGGGACGATAAACAAAAGGAAATCAAACAGACCAGGAAAACATTCGGAGATATTTCGTTCTTGCTGCAGAAGAATGCATACAGAGTTGCCATTAAACAGAACTTCTGGACTGAAGGTCAGGATACTGAAACACAGAAAGAAGACACAGAAAAAGGAAAACGGGTGAGTGTTAATTCAGCTCCTAAGATTAAACTCCAGAATGAAAGTTATCATGACATGCCTGTGGAACATTAACTTGCTATATCAATGATTCCAGGACCCCATCCAATTCATAGCTATCTCTTAGCATCATCACACTTGCAGGACAAGACAAGCCAGAGACCAGTTTACGTTATGAACAAAGACAGTGACGACATAAAACAAGACAAACCAACCTCAGCATGGAAACGGTGTCTGACAATCGAGAAGGCAATAGTAAGTGATCGTTTACGGTGACGCATCTATCATTGAGTAATGAGTCACTGTAGTGATACACACTTTCAGAAGATTCAGTTACACAAGCGAATTGTGATGTATTATTTAGTACTCTTAAAATATCTATTCGTTCATTCATCGTTGTAAGAAATTTATATAGGTTAGTCTTGTTTATCTATAATCTATCTGAACCATTAAGTTGTAACATCTAATTACTTGACATGCGGTTTCAGTATAATAGGCAGAGTAGGGGACCGTTAATAAGTGTAAATGTTACTGTTCGTCTCATTTAAAACGTAATAAATTGTATTGGCGGACCCAGGTAATCATTAAAATATGTCCATATTATTTTTATCTCTCAATCTAATCAGATCTATTTACAGACAACCCTGAAAAGAGAAGAAGCAAAGGGGGCGATACTAAAGGTGGCTCAACGAGTGTCAGTTCTCTCAAATATGATATCCAACCCAGCGACTCGCTCCAGGCTTCTGGGTGGGAAAGATCTACCGCCAGGAAGTTCCTTAAAAAGCTCCCCTCAATCCCACCAAGAAGTATGTCTCTTACTAATACAATGATAGGGGCTGCGATGAACCCTGTCACTAAGGCAAAACTTTCTACTCTGTCCGTCAGGCGCCAAACTCGGTCACAGTCAAAAAGCCTGAGTCCGAGTCCTTCAATACTAGAGAAGATCCTCTGGACAGATCCAAGAAGCTGGTTGAAACGAGAACACAGAACAGCGAAGAGAGCGAAAGTTCGGATGAAATTCGTAGTGATGATAACAGCGATGATAACAGCGATGGTGCTGATAGTGATGCTAGTAATGACTCCGACTCCAGCAGAGAAGTTGACGAGAGAGCGAGGAAGGGTAGCAATGGCAGCATCTACGGCATGTTTAAGTTAGGAATCAAAGCAACCAGAAGAAGTCTAACTCCCAGTCCAAGTCCAAGTCCATACAGCCTTCAACCTCCTGATTCTAGTGACCCTCAAACATCGCCTGTTTCTGCAAAAAGCTGTAAGTTAAAAATTATTAAACATGAAAGAGCTTTTTTTAAAGATTGGAGTCATCAACAGTCAACACGAACGTCAGTAAAAATAAAAGTAATGCAAGTGGTGATACTGATTGGCGATTGTCAGCCTGGATTTCAACTTTTTATACATATTGTACTAATTTTACTAACAGATACTGCAATTTTTTAAGGCCACTGCTGTTTATTCATTACCTAATGCTATTGGTTGATAGATATTATACGTCAAAAGTTGCGTTGGGGTTGTTAACATCAATATGTTCATACTGCATGATGCATGATGCATGATTCACCAGGTTTAGATGTGGATCCCTTACTCAAAGTACCCCTCTCTAAAGGTGCCTCCAAGTCCTTCCCTTCCATGACACCCGAACCAAAAACAAAGGACCTTGTCCTGAACAAACTGAAACGTGCGGTTAGCAGTAAGACAGGTGTGTCTAAAAAGGATCAAAAGAAGTCACCAACAGGACTGACTGTTGTGATAACTGCTCCAGATCAGGGTCAAGTTGCAGGTAAAACTAATTAAGATTCATATAATCGATTAAACGTACGCACGTATTCAAAAACTACACATTCTTGCTAGTCATAGAATTGTTTTTTAAGTTTCTGTCCATATTGGACAGTGGACACAGGCTTTTTGGAACAAATATTTCACGAGTATCACCTGTTAACCAGTAAACACCGTTTTGTTTGCAGCAGAGGTCGAGGAACCATGACTCACATCGAAGTAACAAGAACCTAATCAGCGCCACCAACATCACATAAAGTCTCAGGAGAAGCTAGTTGGAGAGGTTATCAAAGTAATTCACAAAATGAAGGGCAAAACGCCACTTTATTATAAACTATTATATTCGATTATATTTTGAAAATGTCAAGTTGAAGTGTATGATTTAAGATGATGTAAAGTAATATTCGTTTGGCTATTTTCTAGTCTTTGATGTAAATTCAGTTATATATTGTGACAGTATCATTTATTAATAGTATTATTTTCTTATTTCTATCGAGTTTTTGATGCCGTGTAATAAATTGGGAATATAATTGTTTCACTAAAAATACGATTAGAAGCTCCTATCAACGTCATCCAACCCTTTGACTTAGAGCTCCAGAGCGTCTTGAGTCTTGACCCGGTACAAATTTGTGTATACCAAATTTTTTTGCCAGTAACTTCAGTCACTTCGACTTTTTATTTGTGTTATGAAAACAGTTCAGATATAAATATGATTTTGTGGAATTTGTCAAGTTTTTAATTTGAGGGTTTATAATCAAAAGTCATTTACTATGTATAGTAAATGTATACATGTATACATGTTTTTTTTACTAAGTTTTAATTTTATTGACGTCAGTTCCATTTCTTAACATGATTAGTTTATTCAAAACAGTTTCTTGTAAAATAAATCGTAATATATAACATTAAGGTGATGACAATAATCAAATGGTTTTTCGTTATCAGTTTTACACCGTAGAAGTTTAGTTTATTCTTTTAAAAAAAAAGGTTTTCATCAGGTACAGACGAAAGTATCAAAGAGTTCTTCGATATTTTGGTTATCAAACCTATGCCTATTATATAAATATAACCCCGATCGATTGAAATACGCATTTAAATACTTCTTAGAGAATACAAACTCCGGTGAGTTTATGTGATCTTCTAATACATAACTAAAATTCTTCTTACTGCGAGATATTTGTAGCACAAATTTCGTTATAGCTTTTTGACAATCCCGATAGAAATAAATCAAATTGTTTGGACGTAAATGAAAATCGCAAGATAATACGATTACAGTACGAGAAAATGTACTTCCTAAACAAATATTTAAAAAAGTAAATATGGACGCATAGCTGTACAGGTTTAAAGGATAATATAGTTAGTTGTCGTAGTCGTACTATAACTAGTAGTAGTACTACAATAATTTTTTCACACGTTGTAGACCTGCCGCGCACGAGTGCGTGGCTGTATCGTGGCTTTTGCCACTTACTCACTTATAGTGCATGAGTGAAACGACAATGGGGGTTGCACGACACGATACAAAATAATATGTGGATTGTGGTCTAGTCAATGATATTGACTAAAACTGTCCACGCCGTTAATCCATAATCAGCTAAAAGTTGAAATCATACGATATAATTTCGCTAATGTGGTAATACTGTTATAACAATATAATTATACTCTTATACCTTATCGGACCTTATTTGGACGGACATTAAATGAACGGACATAATTATGAACAGACATTAATATGAACGCTAGAAGGCACTCAAGACTTAACGGGTGATACTTGTAAAATATTTGTTCCAATTATTACCGTCGACGAGTCCAACTCGGCGCGCGTCCTGGTAGGTTATAAATCTACAACTCAAAACCATCAAAAATCCGAATTTTTCCCATTTTTTAAAACGTTTTTTTATTTCAGAAAAAGATTTTTAAATCCATTTTTATACAGTAAGTAAGAAAAGCAGTCGTTAAGCAGTAAAAGTGTTAAAAGATGTGTACATGATCAGTGTCTTTTATAATAAATTAACTTTTAAAATTAACCAACGTTGGCAGCTATAAAACGTTTAAGAACTTTTTATTCACAATCTCAAATTAAATACAACGTTAAAACGCTGTTCAATTTTAAACGTTGCTCATATCAATTGGTTCATCTTTTTGGGTGTTCGTGTAATGTTTTTTATCCGAGTTTTAACGTCTTTCCAGACTTTCATAATGATCATTAGGCTCACACCAGCTGGAATAAAATAAGTTAACCTCCTTTCTGACTCACTTGTGGGCTGCTTCAGAAGGCTATAGCCGCTATACTATATATAACTGTCTAATTGAATAATTGGAAGAGAACTCCATCAGGCCAGCTGAACCAAGCGGGGAGTTGATACACCTTTCACAAGCAAGAGCAACTTTGGTCTACTTGCTGTGAGGTGTATTACTCTTAGCTACACCTACATGGGTTGGGGCCCCTCTTTTCTTTTTTTTGTGGCTTTGCTGTTTGGTCTGCACTGATCACCATTATTTAGGACTCGACATGATTTAGTGTTTTACAGTGTGGAAGTTTGGGAGTAACTCTTAGAGGGAATATCTTCGATCAGATTTGCAAGGGTTTTGCTTGACTGTCCTTTTTCCCGTTCCCGCTCTCATTAGCGATTCATCAAGAGCGATTTTTCCATGGGATTTATTTTCGTTGACTTACATATTGCGTAGTCTGAACTTTTATATCATTGTGGTAATTTAATTTCCCGAAGCTGCAAGATTTTGTAGTTTTTGATTCCCGGGTGCAGATAATTATATAGACTTAAAATAGAATTAAAGTCGATGTACCAAGCGCTTAAGGGCCGTTGCAATCTATAAATCAATTTTATATTGGAGAAACTCTTTAGTCTCGTCTAATATTATATAATGCGAATAAAATGGGGGTGACAGGCTCTGTTAACTTGGTGAGAAAAATCGCCATCAGGTCTAAATTCTTCTTTTTCTAAAGGGCTCAAGGTATAGGTAATAAGATTTCAGTGATGTTTCTAGACGCTAATTAGTAATTAATTGGTATTTGGTCTATCTAATGGCTCTGCATAGGTTTGCAATAACTTACAACTTCGATCGGAATCGAGTTATGTCGAAATGATACGTTATTAATGATATTTCAGTGGGCGAAATTTTTACAATCTCTGATAATAAACTATGGGTGACAGTCTTAAAACTCACTACTACTAGCCAGGGTGATATTAGGAAGCGAATTACAGAGTTTATTTTTACTTTAATATACGCGTATCGATTACTGCGTGCAATACAGGCATGGAGCTTTCCTGTCACTGCACTGTCTGTTTCATTACCTCCCTGACTCCCTGAGTATTATATGAACTATAACAACGTCGGACAATGTCCTTGGCAACACGATTTACCGTAATATAATTTGATCAAAACCCATAATCATGGGTAGAGTGGACCGCTGCCAGTGTCTCTCTTTCTCAAACAAAAGGCAATGATATCAATTTGAATGACCGTTATCAAATGCAAAATGATACCGAGAATGAAATCGGTCGCTCGCTTTTCCCACTCATTCATGGCTTACGAATTGTAATAAGTTTCGATTTATAACATGTAATCCAGTAATCTATTTCAATTGTAATGAATGGGAAAAGCGAGCGACCGATTTCATTCTCGGTATCATTTTGCATTTGATAACGGTCATTCAAATTGATATCATTGCCTTTTGTTTGAGAAAGAGAGACACTGGCAGCGGTCCACTCTACCCATGATTATGGGTTTTGGTCAAATATCATCTCTTTTTGATTATAATGTCAGGGTACTTTACAAAGCCGAAATGTAAACTAATAACTTCATTAATATTAATAAGGAGGTGATTTCAACAATTTCGAAATTTTTCCTTTAAAAACATTTCCTTGTGTTTAGGTATGCATATCGGTCGATCACTGACTGAATATGCCACTTTATACTCATTCAAGTTGGCATTAAATTCATATATAATGACATTGAACTTTCGTGGCAAAGCAGAATTTGTTCAAAATCACGAATGAGCAAAATTGTAACCTTTCGCACGTGCAAACCCTGAGCGGAAGTTGCGTGCGCATCCAATATTGAATCACCGTAAATTTTTGCATGATGGTGTTTTATATATAGTTTTTTTTTTTTTTTTTTTTTTAAGAGAGGCTGGGCCAAGATAGCCCACGAGAGGATAGCATTGAGATGCTCTGCCTACCTCTGGGGTGTGGCAACCTTGGGCAAGGTTGCCGGTGAAATCAGAGTGATTGGTGGAGGATGGTGTAAGATGTTATTATATGAGTCAAAATGATACGCTTAATGCCAGCTGGGTTTGGAAAAGTAAAACGAGACGAGACAGCATATGAAATAATACTTTAAGTCACCCCGGTCTGATCCAGCTCCTCCGGCACAATTAAGCGTTTGGTGCGGTTTGCGAAATTGACAATTGTGGTGATGTGTTGGTTGTCGAATATGTCATTGACAGAGAGGTAGTAGTCCTGGAAATATTGACCTCTAATTTGGGCAATAGCCGGACACTGTCCAAGAAAGTGTGAGACAGTTTCCTCTCCGTCGCCGCACATAGGACAAGCACTGGTGTTTGATTTGCAAATGGTGTGAAGGTGTTTGTTTAAGCCGCAGTGACCCGTGATGAGGTGAACTGCAGTTCTGTAATCTTGTCTGTTTTTGCTGAGTGTAGTGTTGAGGTTTTTGATGATTTTGGCATGCTTGTGACCGAGTGTCAGTTTGGTGTGTCTGGGACCGTCAGTTAACCAAGTTTCCTGATTCAGTCTGTTGACTTTGTTGTCGATTTGACGCTTGATGTAGGATTGAGGAATTGGACACTTCAAAGTGGATTCACTGATTGTACCAAGCTTGGCCAGCTCATCTGCTTTTTCGTTCCCCCACAATCCGATGTGTGCTGCAATCCATCGTATCTCTAGCGTGTTGTTGGATCCGAGTGCATTAAGAGAGTCGTAACAGTCTCTTGTAGTTCTACTCCGCGTTGAAAGCGCAGAGATAGCTTGTATAGATGAGAGACTGTCAGACCATATGATGATGTGTGTGTTGGTATAGGTAGAGAGATATTTGCAAGCTTCAATGATGGCGGTGAGCTCTGTTTGGTAAACAGTGCAATAATCAGGGAGCTTGAATGATCTTTCTTCAAGGGTGGTGTTATTGTTGTCAGTTGTGATGATATAGCCAGCCCCGCATCCTGAGTCAGTGAGTGACCCGTCAGTGTAGCAGGTGATCGTTTCACTGGTAATGTTGTCAATGGTGTTTTGAAGTGAATTTCTATATTCAGTGTTATCGGCTCCAGGAGTTGTGACGGTGAAGTGCCGTCCCAGCATCATGGTTGGTGTTGTTAGGTCTCTCGTTGCTCTAGGTGGGATAATGAGGTCTGCCATGAATTGTTTGTTGATAGTGGTATGATTTTTGATAGTTCCCTTCCTGAAGGCGATAGTTTCAAGAGTGAGGCTGCCATAAGCTTGTAGCCTGGCCGCACCCTTTGCTGCTTCGCCTTGCAGGAACAGTATGATGTCAGAAGTGTCGGTGAGGTGATTCAATGCGATAAAAGGTGTGCTTGGCATGGCACCAGACATCATTCTGAGTGCCAATGCCTGCACACGTTTGAGTTTCTTCGCGTTATAGTCCGTTTGAGTGGCCCTGATCCATATACTACAGCAGTAGGATAGGATTGGACGGATGACAGCCGTGTACATCCATTTGCATGTTTTAGGGCTCATACCCCATGTGGGGCCGACAGCTCTTCGACATTGCATGAGGGATGCCGTGGCTTTTTTGGTGGTGTTGATGATATGTTCATTGAAATTGAGTTTGCTGTCCAAGGTGACTCCTAGAAATTTAGCAGACTTGGAAAGACCTATAATGTTGTTGCCAACTGTTATAGGTCTTAGAGTCCACTTACTATTCCAGGTAAACATGACTATCTGAGTTTTAAGGGCGCTAATAGATAGCTC